TCTAAAAATTAGTATAAATTTCTAATTATTCAAATTTTGATTGTTAACAACCTCACCTAAGGATATTTTATATTCATTTCAATATAAGTTAAAAATCTATTTAGATTTAAAAAAATACGACACGGGCGGACACAATAGCTCAATTGGTTAGAGAAGCAATACAGAACACTGTGGATGCCAGTTCAAGTCCCGCCCGAATTGTATTTTTTTTAAATTTATGAATAAATAAGATTACATACTGATACTGTATAATCTTAAAATCTTCACATTATGCCAGAAATTACGTAACATAGATGTGACGCCTAGTAGTCCTCAACAAAAATTTAGGACATGGTATTTAAAAGTTAAAAAGTAATATTTAGAACCGGGTCAATGTCGATACAAGCCTCCGGGGTGCCAAATTTGTAATTAAGAATATTTGGCACGAGTGTGTTTTAATCTCTACTGCTGATGCGTCGTTTAATTAGGTAATTAAAACTTAACACTTTCTTAATAGACATGTTTATCATTAACACTAGCTGTGTCAGCGACTTTGTTCACCTAGAAAATTTATTTTGGGTATCAAAATTTGTTTTTGCAAACCATCTTTATAAATTATAGCTGTTACAAACGACGTCGTCAAGTCTCGTAGTTTTTGCAAGTTACTTAAAAGATATATAGATACACTGTCACGGACATTTTTCTAGTTCATTCTTAAACCGTTTTAAAAGCGCAAGCAATGGAAAGCCTTAAAAATGAATACTTTCCCCGTTTCTTCCACATTCTCACTGTATCTTCGCTTCTATTGATCACATAGTGATTTTAATAGCTTAAAGCCTACCACGATAAAAAAAATGTTAAATTCGAACCCGTAGTTACTGAGATTGGCGCGTTCAAACAAACAAACTCTTCGGCTTTATATGTTGAATGAATGAATGAAAAAAATGAAGGAAAAAGGCTTTATATTTAAATAAAACACTATAACGGTTTAAAACGCGATATATTAGTTAGTTACTAATATATCGCGTTTTAAACCGTTAAAGTGTTTTATTTAAATGTGTACTACTCGCGTAAACTGAAGACAGTATTTAAGGCTTTATATGCTAGTTAAGGTTTATTGCATGAACTTTATTTAAACATTTTCTCACGACGTAGTTTTTGATGGCTTCTAAATAACAGGCGCATTTAATTTACAGTCCGAGCACTAATAAACTTTAATAAATAATCCATTATTTCCAACTATGATACGTTTATTTCGCTCAAGAACTTTGACAGAAGCCAAACAGCACTGCGGTAAGATCCACTCAAAACATAAAATTGGACATTATTCCCAACAGACAAAAAGCACTACAACAATTCAGTACAGTCCTTTGTGAGTTCCGAGTTAAAATTGTTTGAAGTCTGATTTCAGTGTTAACCAGAATCAATAGTGTAAAAGATAGTTTTGAGTTTCCAAAGGTATATTCGTTAATTCAAGAATGATCCTGTAATTACTATTTTTCTTATAATACTAATACGTAGTATTTTTTTTAAGAACACTTTTAAAATTGCTATTATATAATATATATTAATATATATATAACCGTTTTGCTACCCTGGGCGGTATATGTATAGTACTATATAAATTAATTTTTTTATTACTTTAATAAAATAGCATCATCGTCTTCGATGCTCAATGCTTGAACGAATTGCTTAGTACTGCATTAACAAGGTATACAGTTCGAACCGCGACACATAACAGGGCATTGCAGCAGACAGATCAGGTACTAGTCCATAACTACTGGTAGTGCTACAAATTTAAGTTAAACATTTTAACGGCTTAAAACGCGATATATATTAGTTAAACTTTTAAATAAAACACTTTAACGGTTTAAAACGCGATATATTAGTTAAACTTATTTGAAAATGATTTTTAACTTCGGCCCGTCGTTACGGATGCTTTGTAGCAGCCGTGATCACGTGGAGACCGTGACTGCGTGGGGGTTTTAAACCGTTAAAGTGATTTATTTTAATGTATACTGCTCGCGTAAACTACAGACAGTATACAAAATTTAACAGAATATTGGTATAGGAAATATCATATGTGTGTATAGAAACACATACATACAATAGGCATTGTTGTCTGTTCGTGGCAGTAGTTGGTATCGAATTCGGCAGCTAATTTGCCATCTGGACATATAAAGCAGTTGTAATGATACCCTGACTGCCTTCATTAAGATCTCGGGTCTCAGTGTTCCCTTAACCACGATAAATTCCTTTAATATCTAAAGCTAACTTGGCAGAAGCGAAACTGTGAGCCATCGCACACTGGCTACTATAAGACATACTCAGCCAGTTAACAGACGACAAAATACTCAAAATGCAGAACATTTAAATTGTCGTCGTACCTTTCGATAACAAAATTAAACATTTTCAACGGTTTAAAACGTGAAATATATACGCTAACTATAAAGCGTTACCACGGTTGTTAAGAAGCATCCGAGACGTCAAACGGTCTGAGTGTGGTAGTTAAAATTGTGTTCTAAACAATTAAGTAAAAACTGCTTACGCGGAAACTACAAATAATACAGTATAGAGTCTTCAACTTGCTTATGTATAGATTCCGCCTTTGAAAAGGCAATGTTTATGTATCGAAGTATTTAAATAAAACACTTCAACCGTTTAAAACGCGTTATATATTGGTAAAACTTATTTGAAAATTATTTTTAACTTCGGCCCGACGTTTCGGATGCTTCGCAGAAGCCGTGGTCACGTGGCCCTGTGACTACGACTTTAAAGTGCTTTATTTAAATGTGTACGACTCGCGTAAACTACAGACAGTATATAGAAGAAGTATTTTTCTCTGAAGTATTTTTACCCACCTGAGAATACTATAAGAATTTTAAAATATCGTGTGTACTATCGTCTTAATGACTATAAAATTCTTTAATACCTAAAACTAACTTTACAACTGAAAGACTTAGCATTCATTGCGCAGAAACTTCAATTAAGTTATCTTTGATCAAGAGGAAGTTTGAAATATGGCTTCTTTTTGTTCAAACTCGTGCCTACGAATTTGTCTCTTTGAAATATTAAATGTCGACAACTTGCAGATAAGTACAGATATGTTCGCACATCGTGTAAAATATACAGAACCATGTAAAGATATATCTATATATGGGTATATAATGTATTAATTGTATGTATGTTATCTTGAGTGTGGAATGTCGTATTTTCCTTCTTAAACAACATGGTGGATATCGTGCGTATAATAATATACATGAATTTAATGAAAATACTTACGTACCAAAAGTTAAATCTGCGGTCTAGAAAAAATGTGTTCAACTTAGATTGCAGAATAAGTTTTTTTAAAGCCACGTGTTTGTATATATTAGACATTTCTGAAGTTTAAATAAAATTATTTTAAAAGATTATGTACGTCACTAAATTAACTAACTAAAAACTTACTTAATTATTAATTACTTACTATGTATTTCTCCTTGTTGCCGTTTAATTTTTCTAGTAAAATTCAGTATCTGGAAAAAAATATCTTTTTTTTAAGATTCTTTGTTTTGTTTCCCCTTCGGGTTGCTTCCAGGGGTTCCGCCAACCCATCATAGTACATAATATATGTTTGGTTTGTATTTTCATTATTAACTCACGTATTAAGCAATAAAGTGTTAATAAAAATAAAAATATGTTTCATTTTAAGTTTGTTGACTAAAAACAATTGATACGATAGATCAAACCGATCAAAACGTTTTAAACCGTTGTAATCGAATGGAATATTATAAACTTACGCCCTATTTTAGTAAAAGTCTGTAGGTATCACTGTTGTTTGGTAATAGTGGATCTATTTTCTTTATTTATTTCTCAGCTGGTGTGAAGTATACGAGTGGATCATTCCAGTGATGTGCACTAATGAGGGTATTCCTGTTGTATTAATTCGATAGCCATCCGTTCGCGTTTGGTAAATGGCCGAGTAGAGATAAACTCCTAATTACCAGCAACACATTCTACTTGTATCTGCAAATAGCTTTATCAAACTTAGTTAATGTGTATTTATTTCAACATAAATACCTATATATTATTAAAAGACGGGTCTTGAAACGGCGTCCACAGCGTTTTGTGCTCTAAAAACATTTTTTTAAATCTTAATACATTATTTATTTATATAATGCCATCGTGTGCAATAATATTCCTTGACGAAGTATACAATTATTTTTGTACTCATCTTGCAGGTTACTTTGCTTAATCTGAAGAGATCAATACATAGACATAAAAGTATGTCCGTAAACCATCTAGGTTTCTTTAGTAAACACACAAGTTATCAATTTTACAAACACCAGCCGATATGCTCAGTTCTAGCTATTGTTTCACCATATCAGTAATACCTACCTACCCACTATTTCCCTCCCCCCGTTTGATTTCCCTCACTAAATTATAAAGCAATTTAATTAAATAATCGATGATTGAATAATGTCAGCATAATATATTTATTATTATTGTAATTACAATTATAAATATAGAAGTGCATGTCGTAATACATATATCGTGGTGAAATGTGGTGAATCTATCTTAAATTAATTTTAAATGAATTATGCAAAGATTACACCAAGTAAATAAATATGAAATTACAAGTAAAACGTGTAGTTTTCCTTGTAATTTGTAAACAACACATCGATTAGCGGTTTTCCTAATCTTCTAATCTGAATTTAAAAAACTTGTTAATGATCATTAAATTGGCGACACTACATTTGTTTACACTAAATTGAACTAAATAAAGGTTGTTGTGAACAGCGGTCACTGCTTCTTTATGAAATAATTATCGAATTCTCGTTATAGATATGATTAACCTTCGACATGCGGTCAACCATTGTCTTTGTAGTTATCGCATAGGCCGACACGCTCCAACGCAATTACGATCCACCAGCAATAGCCAATAATGTAGACAGACCGCTCGGTTTTTTAGTCGGTGTGCAACATCCGAGTCAGTTGCACGTCTTTATGATTAATTGAACGGGAACAAAAGACAAACGAATATGGCGCGGTATCAGGTTTGCCTGTTGCTGCTATGCTGTTGTGCTTTCTCCATGGCGGCACTACCAGACCCCCTATCAGAAGACTTCATCAACATCATAAACACAAGGCAAAATTCCTGGTTAGCTGGTCGCAATTTCCCGTTACAGACAACATTGGCGACGATGAAGAAGCTCATGGGAGCGTTGAAAGATAAGTTTATGTCAAGACTGCAGACGGTCGAACATTCACCCGATGACATAAAAGATTTGCCAGAAAACTTTGACCCGAGAGATAAATGGCCCGATTGTCCGACGTTAAACGAAATTAGAGATCAAGGTTCGTGCGGGAGCTGCTGGGCTTTCGGTGCTGTTGAAGCCATGACCGATCGCTACTGTATCTATTCGAATGGAACGAAGCACTTCCACTTCTCTGCTGAAGACTTATTAAGTTGCTGTCCAATATGTGGACTCGGTTGTAACGGAGGTATGCCAACACTCGCGTGGGAGTATTGGAAGCACTTCGGGATCGTCTCCGGAGGTAACTACAATTCGACTCAAGGTTGCTTACCCTATCAGATCCCACCCTGTGAGCATCACGTGCCCGGCGACAGAATGCCATGCAGTGGCGATACTAAAACACCTAAATGTGAACGTAAATGTAGGGAGCCCTATAAGTCCGCTTACAAGGAGGACAAGCGTTATGGAAAACACGTTTATTCAGTCCGTGGTGGTGAAGATCACATCAGAGCTGAAATTTACAAGAACGGTCCAGTAGAGGGCGCGTTCACTGTTTACTCCGATTTACTGACTTACAAAAGTGGTGTGTATAAACATACAGTAGGAGATGCGCTGGGCGGACACGCTATTAAAATTATGGGCTGGGGAGTTGAAAACGGAAACAAATATTGGCTCATTGCAAACTCGTGGAACTCGGACTGGGGAGATAATGGTTTCTTCAAAATTCTACGTGGGGAGGACCACTGCGGTATTGAAAGTTCTATTGTCGCCGGCGAACCGCTTTTAGACTAAATTAGCTTATTTTATTAATTAATACATTCTCATAGTTTAGCTTGTTGTATAAAGATCTACAAATAAATGTTTACTATATTCTTTTGTCTTTTATACAAAACTTAGCTGTTTACAAATTACGCATTAGTGTTATGTGTTGGCGCACTTATAGGCTCTAATAACTACTACCGCCTCGTTTATTAATCATGACATACTTAGGTTCTCACTATTCGTATAGTCTTTAAACTTAGAGTAGTAAATATTTTTACACCTATTGAGATAATTTGTAATTAAGATGAGAGAAATTAATACAAATATTTATTATTTCTTTATTGAAACACATAAAAATGCACAAAGTACCTATATACATGTTTCATTAAAACATGTTTAATAATACAACTTTTAAAGAGAACTATTAAATAATATTGGAATATTGTACTCAGACAAACGTTTACAATAATAGTTTATAATTTACACTCACATTAACAGTGATTCTGGTTATTATCGCAAAAGTAAGAATTTCCCGATAACGTAATATTTGTTGCTTGGTCGATGAACCATGGTCATATGAACATATTGTTATTATTTATTTAACTATAGACCAAATTTTTAAAGACTAAGTTAGTTTTATCTACATTGATTGGCGTATGAAAAAAGTTACCTTTTTAATAAGTAGGTAGTGGATAGAGTCGAGAACCTACCGTCACAGTATGTTATTCCCATTGAATTGTATTCAATATTAGCTAAAATAGCTTTCTTTATCTACGTTTATAAGCAGTAGAAGAAGGCGATAAAACAATTAAGGTATTTTTGGATATCTCTCTCTTTTTTATGACAGAAGTGAAACACGTGATGGAAGGAAATTATTTAGGCTTTAATAATTCGAAAATCCACAGACAGGACGCGTAACGCGATTCCACATGTGTCAGGTCATGTTGGATTCGATTGGGATCGATCCCACGACCTGACGCAAAATAGTTTTAAAACATTTTCTTACAACTTTGACGGGCTCGTTGGTGTCGGGTCGTGGCTGTGACTCTCTGTGGGTTCAACATGTTTCTAACAATTTATAATTTTATGAAACATGTTGCACTTCGTCTGGAAATCTGGATAAATGGTAGGAATATCAAAATACCGTCCGGGTCACGAACCACCACAGATGAAAAAGCCATGAAGATTAATCACGTTCCGATTTCAGTTTTAGAATTTCCGAATATCCAAAGCCAAAAGAGGTCACAGCGCGTTGTTTAGATGCTATAGGCTGTATAGGTATTTCACCTACCATCAACCCCGTGCTTGTCTATCGTCCTCTATCATTAAAACTTAAATTACTGTTAGTTAGCAATAATAAAAAAATTGCAAACAGCTCCTATTATAATTAAGCGGCGAAAATCCTTGGACACTAAAGTTTTCTACTTATTTCGCATTTCATTAAAATATTCAACACGCGAGCACCGAGCGGTTGGACGCGAGGGCATTATATGAGGCGTCGAGTTAAATCTCTAATCGTGTAACGAATACATGAGCTTGGTTTTACATTTACTAAGTTAAATATAATTTCACCCTTTTTGATTTACATCATTTTTTATGATAGATCGGACAGAAAAGCATGGGGCTCCCCTTGATAGTAGGTTTTTTTTAAAATGTGTACTCGCGTAAACTACAGACAGTGTCTACTTAAGAAGTCAAACTTAAGGAGAGAGAACGGAGTATCGTGTCCTTAGTATCGTCATAATCAAATTTTTATGAAAACTTTTGGGACTAAATGAAAAACATACATATTTTCGATAACACTTTATTATAACTAATGTTGTACTTTTCCTGTATTTATTAAACAAAATACATAACAATAAATACAGGAATAGCATGTGCTATAACTAAAATAAGATAAATAAATCTATTTTAATCCTAAGATATCACAAAAATGACTGATTATTATAAAGAAATGAAATTATGCCTCGCTGATTATGCCTAACACGATTACTATTGGTTATTGGGTTCAAATTATGTAAGTACGTGCAGAGATGAGAATAACATAGTTCTATATCTAAGTTTGGCCATATTTATTTTATTACTATCGATTTTGAAACTATCTCACCGCTGCTAGTAACTATCCAATACATTACCAAGTTAATTCTTTAAAACATATTTATCTTAGATGATATTTTCAGCTGCACAGCGATTCTTTATACGACTAACGAAAGAAAAACACTCTCAAAACATGACAAAAAAATGACGACTTTTGAAAAATAAATGTGACGTTTTCCGTCTGAATTATTTAAATAAAACACTTTAACGGTTTAAAACGCGATATATTAGGTAAACTTATTTGAAAATGATTTTTCTAAGTTAAAAATAATTTTCAAATAAGTTTAACTAATATATCGCGTTTTAAACCGTTAGTGTTTTATTTAAACGTGTACTACTAGCGTAAACTAGACAGTATCTGAATAATTATTATTATAAAAGAACGATAAACCAAATTTAAAATTCAAACCAAAACATTCCATATAGGGGACGGAGTAATTTTATTTTTCAAACATCGGCTGTTAAAGAAACCAAAAAGAGATGCCATAACGATTGTAAAAAGTAATAAATAAATATTAATAGTTGATGTAATACAAGGGAATGGGATAGTTTCCTAAATAATACCAAGCCTCATATTACAGTTTTCTTAAAGTTATTCGAAGTCATATTTTCATTGAATCAACACACAATCTGTACATATTATTACTATTTGTACAATATAATATAATATACAATATTAATTACATGGAATGAACTTAACACATAATATATTAAATTTTAGACGGAAACTAAGTTATGATCAACGATTTCAAATTTTTCATTTTAAATCATGTAATTATCGAAACAATTAAATATATACATTGTATCATCGTTAATACTTCATAATATAAAAACTGTTTAAAACCACTCATGTTAAAAACGTAACGTAAAGCCTAACGCAGACAGGGTGACAAACGCAATAAAACAATAGACAACCACAAAACAAATAATTGGATAAAACTTTGCCAAAAGAAAATACTGTATAAGAAGTAATTCGGCTCCTCTTGTCTCCTTTGATTTTGAGTTTTTGAAACAATCAATTCTGTTTAAAACCTACATCTCATCTCACAAAGCCTAGCAAACCTTTGCAAGCAAACCAAAAGGTTTGAAGGGGTCACAGTGAGAGTTGGATAATACAAATCTGTAGGGGGGAAATGAGTGAAATGGTTAGCCGATAATGTTGACTAACCCGGCCTTGTGTCAGTATCCCCAATAGAAATTAATAATAAAATTCCCTACTGCACATGAACCTTCTCAGAAATAATTTTTATTGCACTACAAGCCAAATCTTTTATTTTTTGTATCAGCCGAGGAAAGCAATAATTAAAATTATTCGAGATTTCCAGTTTCGTTTCCAGTTACTATTAGGGTTTGTTCTATGTCCAAAACTGCACCACCTAGGGCCACCTTTAAACTTATTTTCGAAAAGAGATAAGCGTAGAAGGAAAGTATTTTCAACATTTCAAAATAATCTCTTGTCCTACCTAGAAGAGATCTGTTGGAGATTTATAAGCTACGGAAATCGAGGAGGGGGGGGAGATTTAATTCTGTCTTTATCCAACCAGCTACGCTACTGCACCACCGATGTAAAATAGTTTTAAATGCTTTTTTGTTTATATAATAAATATACGGCTTATATAGCCAACCCCTTTGTTTGGAAGTAATCGAATGTCTGCATTGGGCCTAAAAACATAATTCCGCTTTAAAAGCCAACTTTTGGCAACACTAACCATTCACATAGAGTCGTATCTCGCTTCTGTGAGTGGGTCCGTATCGTCTCTGTGGAAATTAAAAGCGTTACGGAAACTGTCCCTTAGACGTTCAGCGAATGTCTTGTAATCGAAGTTCACTTGCTGACCGAAATCGAAGTCCGCTACCTCCACTGTGTGCCTGAAATGATAAATAGCTCGTCTAAAGGTATGGCTGATATTCGACGGGTCGTGGGTTCATTTCCCACCAACATATCGTATTGCGGTTTTAGTCTGTGGTATCTATATTCAAACAAATATTGAATACCGATTTTCTTCATAACCGTTCTTCTTTAATAAACTAGTTTTAATGGTTAGTAACATTAAAAATATTAGTTAAACTTATATTTGATTTATATTAACTTATATTATTAAAAATCAATTTATAGATTTAAACATAATTAAACACGGGCACGACTTGAACGGCGTTCCGTGCTGTTGCATTGCGTATATTTCGTGTAATTAAAACCTTAAATTATAATTTTTATTTGCAATATTAAAATCAATAAGAATTCACCAGTAGGTAAACCATGGTGTGGGTCCATCAACTGAGCTATGTTTATGAGCTTATGTGATAATTTTAAAACTATAAAATTTGATGTACCTCGATCTATGCTGATAGTATGCAACTCCAAACACGACCAGTATAACAGCTACAAAGGAGAATGCAACAGGAACCACTATTACTGATAGCTGAGCGTGCACAGAGGCTGAAAAATAAAAAAATCCCATTACAATAACATATCTAAAATTACAAACTAATCGAAAAGTATGTAAAAGAAATTAAAATCTAAATGCATTGTTTAAGGGTCTGTTAGTCTCTTTGAAACATAATTCCTAGTATATACGAACTGGCATTCTACCTTATTAGTGTAGATATGTGATTAGTGGTTTTAAAGGGAGCTTAAGCGGCCCACCATTCTACTCCAACCCGGCTTGGACGACCACCGCTACTAAATAAGTGGTGGCGTTGCTCTGAAAGATGTTCTTTAGACAACTTCCAAACACCAAACTAACAATTAGCCCGATTCCAGTTGTTAGTCTGACACCTTGTTAATTGTTATATACAGTGCACTAACCACTACACAAAGAAGGCAGTACAGAAACAGAAAAAGGGTTGCAAAGCATTCGAAACGTCGTCTTTACTATTAAAAATTAATAAAAAAAATTGGTTGTAGTAAAAAAATTTAAATAACTAATATATTTCGTGTTTTAAAGCGTTAATAGTGTTTCATTTATATGTCTAGTACTTGCGTAAATTATAATTGATTATTAAACGACTTCGGCTCAAAGATTATCAATAATCTATTTATACGACATGTGTTAAAAGTTCATTTTAACAAGACATACAAGACCTGTATTTATTTGTACACTTAACATTCTATGTCTACATGTAACAGCTGCAAAATATACTTATTTGAATAATACTTTAAAATGTAATCCACATTTACATTTTCACCTTGAGCATACAACAATGTTAAGAGGGATATTTTAAAAAAACTGTATTAATTTGACTATTGTTATAGCTTTAATAGGACACCTTATATTTACAGGGAAAATAATTGAACAAATAATAATTAAAATCGGGCAGGCATATAGAAATGATTGATTCTAGATTTTATAAGTTCCAACAACATATAAAACTAATTCATATATTTCAATAACATATTTGTTGTATGTAATAACTAATAAATATTCAGAGACATATATGTATACAAATCAAAATCATCGAGTTAAGTTTAAAATTCTTCCACCAAGTAGAGACCTGTCGGACCAATACTATTTACTAAGATTTTCAATAAAAAAACATGGATAACCAACCTTTATAAATATTAATGGTCGCTCTTGAAACACTTTTTCCAAGTACATTTTCAATAACAACAACTACAGTATGCTGTTCACTATCAGAGAAGTAATGCACCAGGGGAAATACATTGGACTCAGTTCGGGACTTCACTGCACAAGTTTCATTGCCTGTTACATTGTACTGGCCGAGTTTGTAAATGGCACAAAAGTCGAATGGTGGAGATCCAGAGTATTTTACTCGTAAGTTAAGAAGATCACCATGTTGCAACCAGTTCATGCCGGTTATATTCACTGTGGTTATCGACTCTGGAAATCATTTTAATTGTAACTATAAAATTTTAAAATAAATGCAGGTATTTAAGAAAAACTTTGACACAAAATATAGATCATTATTGACAGGTTGATCAGAATTCTTACCCCTGCTTGAAATTGATATCTAATCAACTTGTTCTTGTCAGAATTGCTTACCCCTGGAATTCCATCAACTACACCTCAATACTGACCTCTTACACTAATTGTTTCTTGATAATGTCCATATGTATATGTGTCACCGATAGGCACAATACTTGAATTGTGACAAATGAAGTCCTTGATTGCATATTTACTTTTGGCTACCTGCCGCTTAATTATTTTATGAGTTGAATTTAAAAATGTGCCTGTTGTAGAGACATTAGAAGTAGTAGGTTCTATTGGTTTAACTGTTGTTGTTGTTGTGGTTGTTGATGTCGTTGTCGTTGTTGTGGTTGTTGTTGTCGTTGTTGTTAGGGGTGGCAAAGGTTCATTATTAGCAACAACCAATACATCTATATAGTGGTTGGCCATTAAGTCCTGATAAGTGTAATTCAATGAAAAATCTGTAGTCTGATCAATAAACATGCAATCAATAAACCAATATGTGACAATAGTTGATGCATTTTTATTCAAAAATTCAATTTCGTTATCTGGTAATTGAATCATGTGCTGAACAGAGCTGTTTACGGCCACATATCGGTTGGGTCTTGTCGTATTATTCTGCTTCAATAACAGATTACCATGCAAAGAATCTGAAAAATATAAACATTGTCTGTTACTAATTTAAAAATCGAAAATAAATTGAAAAAATTTTAGACTCGGGCAGGACCGAACCGGCATCGTCAGCTTTCCGTGCTGTTGCTCTACCAATTGAGCTGTACCAACTTATTGATACATGCACCTCTCGATTAGATTTTTAAATCATATAGTGCCTTCATGTGCAATAACATGTGAAAAATATTTATGTTTTCAAATTGTCTGTTACTGTTTGATACTTAATAGAGTCAAAATCTTTTTAATTAATTTAGGAGAATGTAGCACAACATAAGATTGAGCTCTTCATTTATTAAAATATTATACCTGTTAACTGAAATGTGGTGCTAGCAGATGTTTCTTTAATCCATAGACCAAAAAAATTCTTCATAAGTTCTACAGTCACTGAAAACTCTCCCGCTTCGTAAAGACTTCGTGGATATTCAACAGTCCAAGTCGATACATTAGTATTGTTTATTATCTAATGAAAAAAATATTTGTCTTAAACAGTTATTGTTATACTGTGTTGAAAATAAAATACAGATACATGCAATCAAAAAAGTGATACAACAACAATCAAGAAAATTAAGCTGAAAAATAGATACTTTTAACAATTAAAATATTGCACAATAGAAAACTAACATCTTGCCGATGTTGTGGCTGAGTATCGTCCCAATAGGAAAACTTAAGATCTTCTCCAGAGTACCCTAAAACGGTTGCAGTAAATGTAACATTTGAGCCACGCACTGCCGGGCCATTATTGGTCACTAATAGTTTCAATGAGTTAACAACTGTAAATGAAAGGCATATAATAAAGTAATGCTAGAGGCCAGAGTTAAACAAATTTTTATTAGTCGTTCATACATATTATTACATACCATTTTGATGCAACACCAACAGGACTAAACTTAATTTCCAAAACATTGTTTTTCCTTTTTAACTACACGAGCGTATTTAATTGAACGCACACCATACACCATATGAATTTACGTAGATCAAACACAACTTATGAAGAATAATTTAGTTATTTTTGTTTCCCAAAAGTAAAAAAACAAAGAACGGATTTCGCTGTCGGTGAAAGGATGTACGTATATGAACTTTATTGAAAAAATTGATACACAGTACGCAATCTTCAAAATTTCATCGCATTTGTCTGTAAAGTCAATTATAATCTTGTTTTCAAGTAAACACAAAAATAATAATGTAAAAAACTTAAACGTCTTATTATTCCTATGACAGCAGTCAATGAAGATTTATTAGTCTAAGCCACCAGTGGCGCCACTTTAAAAAGACATCTCATTCAGTCTCTTCTTCTTCCAGAGTTTGATTTTAACCTACTAAAAATAAAATGATCACAATCTAATCACTTAACTAATAAAATATTGGTCCGTCATGAAATTGTTCCAGGAAACCACATTGTCACTTTATTCTTATTATACATGTATAATATTCCACTTTTAAAATAGCTTTATGTATATCTGTAACAATTGTTATCTGTGTAGTATATTTTAATCTTTGTACAAGTGGATACTTGTTCTATTTATTTGAATATTCATGTGCCTAAGCCTAAAGATCGTGTACTCATCCAAAGATTCTGCAGGTCCCATCTAAGAATCATTGAAATTTAAAAATGTTCTAATATTTTTGTGTTTCGTCGTAGCAAATATTTGAAGAAATTTATAAAAATGGCGACAGTATTTGATAGTCCTTTCATTCGACAACGTTTGCATCGGTTACGGCATCGTGATTTCGAGTTAGATGAAGACCAAAGATTCGGAAGATGTGATTGTACAAGTTATTCCTACTTCGTTCTTTCCATGGTTTTGTTTTCAGTGGGAACAGTAATTACAGTGTTGGCTCTAGGTGACGCTGATGGGTATATTTTAAGCAATTTGGGACACATGTGGCTAGTAGGGCCCATATTTATATGTTCCGGAATGATGGTTGCCGTGAAAAGTATGTTATATTTACGAAGAAAAAGTGTTATTCAGATGCTTCTTCATCAACGTGCTATTATCAGAGTGAGTTGTAATACTTATTATCTATTAATGATATACTCTTACATTCTCATGTGAATTAATTTCATCTATAGAAAGTAGGCATTGTAAGTGACAACTTTGCGTACTGTCCATTTACGATTTTCTCACACATTTTGCTTGATCAAATAAAGATAACCTTCACCTGGATATATAATCATGTTCAAATATTTTCAAAAAGATTAGTAAACAGTATGTAATTTCCTTCAATATGCAAAAAGTATTAAAAAAAGATCTTTATAATCTTTATTAACCTTGAGAACATAATATAGCAGAAAAAGGTGATATCACCCATTTTTTTATTATTATTGTTTACAAGACTTGCCAATTTCTATGATATATTTTTCTTCATTTATTTATGAGTCATTTGCTTTAGTTATATTAATGAAAAACATTTTTTCATCAATTAATTAATATCAATATATTAAATATTTGATAAACTTAAGAAGACACTTTGTATTTTTAATTTAATACATTTTATTTCTTTTACTTAATAAATTCTTGTATTTCAGGACATGGCTAGTATTCAAGCAGAGTATAATACTCAAGTTCCTCGCACTGCATCAAGTGCAACTTTACCACCATCATATGATGCACTAATTGCAAATGCAGCGACAAGCAAACCACAGCCATCTAGTTCTGATCCTCCTCCACCGACATATGATGAAGCTATGTATCTGATTGGTGATGAGAAGTTTCATCTCGATAACAATGATGCAAAGGAAGACACAAGTAACCAAACTAATTCTACAGATGATAAACCTTAGATAAAATAGATTTAAGGGATCAATCAATAGATATTTTTTAACTTACTTAATTTTTTGTACTTATGTTAACATAACATAGTCAACATTATTGATAGTAGTCTCTTATGTGCCTAGAATTTATCTTGTTAGCACCATTGTTAAAAGTTACAATTTTCATGTTATGCTGATATTAGAATAATGTGTTCATGTTCGTAGCATACTTCATGAACGGTTTGTCCCTAGTTGTGCCTAATTTTATACATAAGCTGTTATGTACGTATAAGTACCTACTTACTGTCATGTGACATTGCTTTATATGAACAAGTCAAAGTAATCGTTATAGATATAAAGTTTTAAAATATCTTGGCTATTGGTTTAATAATTGTTGGAAGCCTGTGATTGATATTTTATATCCAAAGAATGCAGTTTTGTCTGGGTTTGTAATATTGTTACAATTCAATGTGCAAGATCACTTATAACAAATGCAATACGGCCTTGATAATCTGAACACAAAAATATTACCCTTTTGGATATCGGAAGCTTAATACATGTAACACGGAATTTTTATCAAGGAGTAAAATGTAATTTCGAACATCCTAGTGCTATTGTTCTATTTATTATACAATTATAGGTAAAAAAAACACAGTAACTCCACTTGCCTATTTATTATAAGTATATATATCCAATCATATGGTATTTTTTTATTAGCTCTTTACAATTCTCTTTCTAACATTTATTCCTTCACCATGCTTATTCTAGTAGTTTTTTAAATTAAGTAATGTTATATATTGCATTTAAATGTTACAAACCCAAAGTAACTGATACAAACAAAAAAACAATCACAGTAAAGCTTGAATTACAAAAGCAATAGCAAGTGATTATATTACTGAACCAGACACTTAAACAAACTTGTGATATTCTTATATAATGACAGTCATTTTTACCTTTGTAACCTTTAGTTGTGTTTTTATTAAGTTTATTTTTTTCTCGAATCATTTCTATCTCAGTGGTTTTGTAATACAATCACAAAAATAAGCAATTAATGGTTCTTTGTAAGTAAATGCATTTTAATAATCATGTTCTGCTACAATATTTTTTTATCTTAAATTTAGATTCTTAGTTTTATTAAGTTCTATTTATTTTCATTTTTTAAATTGTACTTTTGCTAATTTACTATGGTATATGTAAAGAAATGGAGGAAACAGAATGTATTTGGGATCTGTCATCTGTTGACAAAGGGTTCAATTTCAACTAAAATGTTGTGAAGACTGAAGCATATACAATTTACATTGTTGGAAATTTATATCAAGAAAGTTTAAGCTAATATTGTATATAAAATAATGTTGATCTGATTGATGTACTTTCATAAGTAATGAATACATCTATATTTATATAATGGCTTTTATTTATATTATACCCACTATGAGAAATGTTGACAAGTTTATTTATTATATAGTCTCTATCATGTTAGTCTACCAAAGTATTTACTTCGAAAACATATTTGCTGTAATTGTGGCCATTGCACTATAAACACATCTGCAAAGTACTGTAGTATTTTTCCAGTGAGAGATAATGTTCTCACACGACACACACTTTCAATAAAGACTATTCTGCAGTCCAATATAAATAGAATTCTCATCAAAAACACAACAACACAAATAGGAATACATGTTCCTGGTCCATTACAAAATATTATGTTTGGCTTAAATCTGTATATGATTGGAACAGTTGAAAAAATTGCATACAGGGTACTAACAACCGATGATCTAAATGACTGGTTGACTTGTCTACTTCGAGGGATTTTAGCGATTTCGTAAGCACGGCTACCCTCGTAACTCTGGATTTTGAATTCACTTGTTTTGTCTGTATCTGCCATGACATAAAGACGAGGATTGTATTGGGTAACGTTGAGATGTTCTAAAATTTTCATAAGTTCACTGGTATGTCCGCCAGAACCAACACATAGAATTGTCCGCAAGGATGTCGGTTCCTTAAAGGTAAAACTCAAGTTATCATTATATATTCCAATAATTAAGTATATTGCTCTCACTAACAAAATAACGGGAACAAGCCCACAACATAATATAATAATCAATTTATCTAAACTCATTCTCGTGGTATTAAAGGTAACTGCTCATCAATTTGGCTTTTAGCACCTTATCGCATAACGTATTATCACTGGTGAATCAATAATTGTTATTAAATTATACCAAACAGAAATGTGACAAAAAAAACAAGATAGTTTATAAAATATTTGTGGTTAGTGGCACAGATGTAGTAGAAGGAAACATATTAATATAAAACACGCAAAATTGGAAATCAACGCACGATGTTTTATTTTTTAATTATATTAGACATTTTTATTATGATATTTAGATTAAATTGCTATTAAATTATCAAAATTCGTATAATTTTGACTTATATTATACATTATTATATATTACACACTACAAAAGTAAGCACAGAGTATTACCGTCTATCTACAAAAACGACTTCTTCTTCTTAGTTTGATGGCTTTCCCTTTTTTTAAAGTTATACGAATTTCATGTATGCGGAAAAATCTCTATTCGTTTAAAAAAAATGAAATAAATAATAAAAATAATAAGTTAATTAATTCTATAATATTTTTTTTTTCAAATACTTTTCAGTGACATTAAACATAGACATTACCACATAGATCCGTCATGTCAATGTCTAAAAAACAAAAATACTTTACATTGTACAATGTACCACTTGTGTGGTAGAGCGTAATGGGTTGGTGATGGGTAATGGTCGGACACTTCGCCATAACGATATTATAATTATATATAAAAGTGCATTTTTTGTGGATATCATTTACTATTTTCAAAAAAGTGTACCCAACGATGTAGCTTGTTTATAGTTTTTGTTTTAAAGTTATATTTATTTCAGTAATCGGTAATAATTTATCACCATAACTGTTCCTAATTTATAAATTTAAAAACGGAGTGATAAAATTATTTTTCCAAAAATATTTAAACAGACGCAGCAGGATCTCTTGTCTAATTTAAGATGAATTTCATAAAATTGGCTGGTACAGGCATACTCCAAATAAGTTCAATTCTTTTTCTACTTTTCTATCTTATGGGTATTCTGAATATGAACTTCAGTGATAAAAACAATTATTGTGCCATGACCTTTATGTTCGAATATCCACAATTTGTGGTAAGTCTTAAAAAGTGACTGTCTATAATAAAATTTAGTAAATAAAAAAATAACTAAGTATATGTATTTCCTTCTGTAGAAGATATCATTGGATGAAAACAAAATATTCCCACAGTATGGATTATTTGCTTACAGCGAAGGCCGCTTCACAGAAAAATCCCGCAAGATGTGGTTAATATGAATTATAAAAAATCATTTCATATTTCTAACTATTGACATACATACTAATTTTTCTATGGTGTTAGGTTCGATGGAGTGCCCGTTTTATTTTTACCCGGAAATTCTGGAAGCCACATGCAAGCCAGGTCTCTTGCATCAGTTGCATTAAGAAAGGCATTATCAAATGGTTATGAAAATCATTTTGATTATTTTACAGGTATCAATTTTAAGTAAAATCTTTATGGTGTTTATATTGTTATTCATATAATTGAAACAAAACATATATCTTTACAGTTAGTTACAATGAAGAGCTCTCTGGCCTCTTCGGCGGCGTCCTTCAGAGCCAAACTGAGTTTGCTGCAGCATGTGTGCACAAGATTTTGAGTCTATATAAAAACCATAAATACACAAAATCTGTACCAACATCTGTTATTTTAATTGGTCATTCCATGGTAAGCATTACTGACTATAAATCTTATTAACAAAATAACTGCTGTTTAGTATTCATACAGCCATTTGAAGTGTACTAATTGAATTCCTAGATCATCAATATTTATTTCCTCATTAGATGTAAGTAGTGTAATGTATGATAATATATTTAAATTTCAGGGCGGTTTGGTAGCGAAAAGGCTGCTGGCTTATCCAAGTACGATTAATAAAACCAATATAGCTATAACATTGGCTACACCTTTGGAAGCTCCGATTATAAATTTTGATCCAGCTATGAATGATTTTTACAAACAAATGGAGATTGAATGGGATAACTATGTGGCTCCTAATAAAGCTGTTGTAAATAGAAAGATGTTGATAAGCCTTGGTAGTGGACCAAGAGATGTTTTAGTACCCGCAGCTTTGACTTCAACAAACAATAGTTATGTCAATGCTTTGGTCAGTATATTTTATATTTTTAGTAAGAAACTAAGTTTTTTGATTACTTTAAAGTGAATACCGCCATGATTGATATCCCAGGGAAATCTATGAAATACTTTTACTCTAGCAATGCAAAATTAAAAAACTGTATAGACAACGCTGCTTTTTCAAAACTTTCCGATACAGGACCTCTTACGTAGTTTTAATATGTTAAAAAAACTGTTTAGAATTTAAATTTTTAAGTTGTTGATAGAAATATCAATATCTATGTGATATGTCACAATGCAAAGCTTCTGATGGGATACCTAAAGATTAGTCTTTGTTTACAGGCAACTGCAGTCCCAGGAGTGTGGGTGTCACCAGACCACATCAGCATGGTTTGGTGCAAACAATTGGTTATGTCAATAAACCGATATCTTTTTGATATTGTGGATCCGCGGCTAAATCAAATCACTGATGATTATCGACACGTCAAAATGAAATCGCTACAATATTTTACGGTAAGAGATTAGGCTGATTGAACTAGAATTGACATGAGTGGGAGAAACAATTAAGTATTTCCTTATCTATACTATTATTATAAAGCTGTTTGTTAGTTTGCACGCTTAGTCGTAGTATCTACTGGTTCGGATTGAAAAAATATTTTGCGCATTTAACCATTTACCGCGGACGGCATTAGGCTATAAAACTTCGGACTGCAACCAACAGGAGCAAAGAAACAGAGGGAAATGGGTAACAAACGGGAAAATTATAGATTTTTGACGGTTTCCGCTGCGTGTGTTGCGAAAACAGTTCAAGATACTTCTTTGAATAATCTAAAAAAAATCCGCAACCGTATGTCTATGTTTTAAGATTTACAAGAACCGTTTTTATGACTTAACCAAATTTTGTCCGAACATAATAAAGTATTTATATGGCAACACAGTGGTTGTTAGGTTAGTTAGTGATAAAAAAGAGACTACCTTGCTATCGGTATAACATAGTACTCAAATCTTATCTAATCTAGCTTTATCTTACTACCATCAATTCAGAAATTAAATATAGAATTGTTCCTATTTGGGAAATGATTAAATTGAAATCAGCAAGCATGAAATAAAACTGGCCATCAATAAATGCACTTAAAAAACCTAGATAGTATATAATATATATAGTTAAAATCTAAGTCTTTATTATGTTGAACTAAATCTTATAAATAGTCAAGTAAGAAATTACTTAGATACTGTCTATAGTTTACGCGAGTAGTACACATTTAAATAAAACACTTTAACGGTTTAAAACGCGATAAATTAGTTAAACCTATTTGAAAATGATTTTTAACTTCGGCCCGACGTTTCGGATGCTTTGCAGCAGCCGTGGGCCACGGCTGCTGCAAAGCATCCGAAACGTCGAGAAAGAAATTACTTTATTTCGCAGGCAAATCGTTCAACGACATTAAACCCCAATATTTTACGCGCTCAAGTAAACATGAATGTTGATGCATTTTGGTATGAAGATAATAGAAGAGTTTATCAGATATCAAGACCGGAAATTGACAAGTAAGTATCTATGGAACATAGATTATCAGAATTTCTAGAATCTAAATAACGTAGAACTAAATAAAGAGATTATTTCCTTCATTCCTTTCATCAATAAATAAATACCGTACATATACATACAAAGACACCCATAGAGGCCCAGATGATCAGTCTAAACAATTAGTTGACCATTTCACCCCTACTTCCCTTGGTATTAAGTTCATTATACTAAGTACACCTTTTAAAAGGTCCGTCACTATATCCTCACAGTTATTTTGTATTTTTCTTATCTGCAATAAAAATATATCTGTTTGTAAACATTCTATAATTTATATTTTTTAATGACAATACATTATCAAGTGGACATTCATGTTTAGCGAATTACTGCTATTGCAGTGAAAAGATTTTAGTAAGTTAAACTTTCTGCATTTATTTAAAGTATTTCAACGGCTGACGTGCTTGCATGTAATCTTGGCGGAACTCCAAGAGTCCCTAAGACGCTATATAAACGTTATTTTAGGTTTACACGTATAAACGACGTCATTAGTCTTATCTACTGAGCAATACATAAGTGTTGTTATGATCTCAAATATATTTTAGTAATATTAAGAATATTCAACTATAATATGCATTTTTACACTTCATACTTTGTACCTATTTATTACAATTAAATGTATATGTTAAAAAGTTTGAAACGCTTGACCGCAGAAGAAAAGAATATTTTTTAAAAGTAATCTATTGCACTATTCAAAAATCTTTCTCATTGCAAAAAGCCGCGATATATTCAATGAAAACAGGTGTCATTACTTTTTTCGATAGTCATTATATTGGGGACAAGTCTAGACTTGTCCCCAATTTATTTGAATCGATCCTAGGATCGATTCAAATAAGCCCGATCTTCTATTGTATATAAATAGAAAGTCATTTTATTTTCAGAACTACCCATCTAATGATTCGATTGGTTGCGTTTCCACAAAATCGCTTTGTAGCAATAGAAGCGGTGAACGTCGATGATAAAGATTGGATCTTTGGTTGCAACGCAAAGGATATTCACGGATCGTATCGATATTGGTAGGTGAATTTGTATCTATTCCTTCCGAAAGCAAACGCAAGGAACCCCCAAATATCATAGAAATTTATGCTAAATTATGCCAAAAGGCTAAACATTTCCATAAAAGGAAATTATTATTTGTGTCTAAAAATGTGAAATTGACTTCCAATATGAAAGACGCAAAACGAAAAATAGTAGTACTTTATATTTTTTTTACAAGGACAGATTATTTGTGATATATGTCTTAATAAGTATTTTCTATTTCTTTTCACCTGTACTTCAGGTTGCCTGGAAGAGATCGCTGCTTAGCGATAATGCCGCCTTTTATTTATAAGTTAGTACATAAGATTTTTTCTCTTTCATTTGTTTTTTCGGTGGCATGTATTATAAATAATAAAGCTATAACTAATGAGAACTTAACTAAATTATTATATAAAAAATAATTTCAGTAAAACAGCTAGTTCACTTAGCGAGTTGAGTCGATGGACGGGCGCTGCTACGGATTTTGGAAAGCGTAAAGTAGCAACGATAAATTTACACAGTATCAAGGGCGCACAGCCCGATTGGACACACGTCATTGTCAAAGTATCGCCTACCAAGAAATCTGTATGTATATTAATATATTTATTTATTTAGCTCTTTCTTGCAACACACACATCAAAGTATTCAAATATAAACCTTAAAAATAGTTTTAATAATGTAACTTCTAAGAAATAATGATTACAAGTTATGGAGTGCAATGGGCGGCCTTATCTAAGCGATCTCTTCCAGGCAATTTTGTAATTTTAGGGGGTTCCCCCTATTTTTATTAACATGAACATGAAATATACATAAATAGTATTTGTAATCCATCATCCTCCTAAATCGTATTTGTAATCCATCTCCTTATTTATAATCTCACTAAAACTAACTATCCATTAATATATATTATTTTAGATTACCCTCAACGTAGATGTAAACGACCACGCGTCACGGCAAATAACTGTCGACCTACCCTCTCTTCTGTCTATTAGCAAACATGTGATAAAACAAGAGACTGAAGCCAATAGCTTGTATTATGAACTCCTACTACCGGGATTCAACGCGATACACCAAGCTTACTTGCTTTACATCGAGCCAGTAGGAACATGCCAACCACCATACCATGTTTCTGCTGAAATGCACGTTCCTTGGGCGATGAATCATGAATACTACCATTATTTCACGTAAGATATGTTATAACCTAGACATTCAAATTTATTAAATGTTTTATTAATTAATTTATTTATCTAATAAACCATTTCAATTCGTTTAAATTTTCTTGGCTAATACTTGCAGTTATTTTCTGATACACATATAACTATGCCAGTTGTAGCTAATAGTTAATGGTTTCTCTTTCTATAGACATTTAAAGCGATCACCAATGAAGTTAAGACTTTTCAAAAGTAATCCTAATGCCACGTCTGCTGGTTCAGACAGTGTCAAGATTACAGTTCTATTGGATCCAAAGTGCATCTTTACTATAAGGTAATATTAGTTTTTCATTCGTCACTTTTATTGTTTTTTTTTCAATATAGAGGAGGTGTACGTCTGTCCAAAAAATGTAATTAGCTATTGTCGTTTTAATTGTTTATAATAAATAAATTTAAGTAAGATGCGCTATCGACCTATTTGGGCTTTGGATATTCGGAAGTGGACTGAAACCGAAACGCGATTAAGCTTCACGGCTTTTTCATTGTGGACGGTGGTGGTTCAATATTTCCATCACTCATTCAATATCCAGATTTCCAGACGAAGTCCAATATGGTTCAATAAAATTAGAAACGAATCGAACTCCGACCCGTTTTTTTGCATTGCTACTGTTAGAATTGGTTTAAAGACCCCGTCTGAATTATTTTAAAAAAGGTTTCATTATGGTCATTTGTTCGTATGTTAATATTTAAAACTAGCTGACCCGCACCCACTTCGTTGGGGGGTAAATATCCCCCGTCCCCCCCCCCCCCTTTTTTTTCCCCCCCCCCCCCAAAAAAAAATTTTTTTTTTTTCCCCCCCTTTTTTGCCCCGGGGGGGGGCCCCCCCCCCCCCCCTTCCCCCCGGGGGTTTTTTTTTTTTTTTTTGGGGGGGTTTTTTTTTTTTTTTTTTTTTTTTTTTTTTTTTTTTTTTTTTTTTTTTTTTCCCTTCCCGGGGGGGGGGGGGGGGGTTTTTTTTTTTTTTTTTTTTTTTTTTTTTTTTTTTTTTTTTTTTTTTTTTTTTTTTCCCCTTTTTTTTTTTTTTTTTTTTTTTTTTTTTTTTTTTTTTTTTTGGGGGGGGGGCCCCCCCCCGGGGGGGGGGGGGGGGGCCCCCCCCCCCCCCCCCTCCCTTTTTTCTCCCCCCCCTTTTTTTTTTTTTTTTTTTTTTTTTTTTTTTTTTTTTTTTTTTTTTTTTTTTTTTTTTTTTTTTTTTTTTTTTTTTTTTTTTTTTTTTGTTTGGTTTTTTTTTCCCCCCCCCCCCCCCCCCCCCCCCCCCCCCCTTTTTTTTTTCCCCCTTTTCCCCCCCCCCCCCCCCCCCCCCCCCCCCCCCCCCCCCTTTTTTTTTTTTTTTTTTTTTTTTTTTTTTTTTTTTTTTTTTTTTTTTTTTTTTTTTTTTTTTTTTTTTTTTTTTTTTTTTTTTTTTTTTTTTTTTTTTTTTTTTTTTTTTTTTTTTTTTTTTTTTTTTTTTTTTTTTTTTTTTTTTTTTTTTTTTTTTTTTTTTTTTTTTTTTTTTTTTTTTTTTTTTTTTTTTTTTTTTTTTTTTTTTTTTTTTTTTTTTTTTTTTTTTTTTTTTTTTTTTTTTTTTTTTTTTTTTTTTTTTTTTTTTTTTTTTTTTTTTTTTTTTTTTTTTTTTTTTTTTTTTTTTTTTTTTTTTTTTTTTTTTTTTTTTTTTTTTTTTTTTTTTTTTTTTTTTTTTTTTTTTTTTTTTTTTTTTTTTTTTTTTTTTTTTTTTTTTTTTTTTTTTTTTTTTTTTTTTTTTTTTTTTTTTTTTTTTTTTTTTTTTTTTTTTTTTTTTTTTTTTTTTTTTTTTTATGATAAAAATTAGTAGTAATATTACGTATTATTCTTTTTTAACACGTATGCTAACATCTTATATATTGTACGTTTTCAGTATTTCAGGTAGCTGGTACTACCGTCTCGCTCAACTTGCGCGTAATTATACGCCAGTTTTGGTTCCATATATAGCGGCCATTGTTCTTCTAGCTGCACGAGCTAATATTTTAAGCTTGAAGGAGAATGGTGTTTGTATTTCCATACACAACGCTCTAATGAGTGAAGGTGTAAAACCGTATTACGTACTGGTGTTTAGTAGACTTGCTACTATAGGTCTTATGTAAGTATTATTAAAGGATAAATTGATATATGTATGTATATAATCGGTGTAAGTGTATGAACACCGTCGTCAAACCGAGGGACACGAAGAAGCATATTTCTACATTTATTTCATTCAAATACTGTCTTTAGTTTACGCGAGTAACACATTTAAATAAAACACTTAAACGGTTTAAAACACGATATATTAGTAAACTTATTGCAAATGATTTTTAACTTCGGCCCGACGTTTCGGATGCTTCGCAATAGCCTTGGTCACGGGGAGACTGAATTTATCGCGTTTTAAACCGTTAAAGTGTTTTATTTAAATGTGTACTACTAATCTTTTTATGATTTACTTTTTCCAGCTTATATATATCATGAACAATTGATTTTTAGGTCAGTGCCGTTACTGACAGTGATGTTGGAAAACACCGGTTGGAAGAATATGGAGATCCAATATTTTACGCGCTCGATACTAGTATTGCCCGCGTATATGACAGCCCTAGGTATAATTAATGTAGCCGCAGCGGCAACATTAGCAGTAATGGTATTTTCATCACAATTGGCTCATCGATTGCTTTTTAAGTAAGCTTTATTATGTTTTGTATTTTTTTTCTATTATCTCCTGTAATTTGCAATTCGTAGTTAGTAATTTCATGAAGTCGCTTTAGTAGTTCTACCTAGTTAATGATTATATATCTGAAAAGTACTTGAAGATTTATCATAAAGGACAGACAAACAAGAGATTCACTTGATGGATGGTGAGTTGAGATACCCCACCCATATATATAACATCTAAAAAAGATGCACTGTTGACCTTTTCGTCTTTGGATAATCGGAAATCCACAGACTGATACCGAAACGCGATTAAATTTGACGGCCTTTTCATCTGTAGGCGGTGTTTCGTGACCCGGACGGTATTTCGATATTCCTACCACCTATTTAAATACAGACAAAGTCGAACGTGTTTCAGAAAAATTAGGAATTGATTAGACAATATACTTTGAAATTGCAAGTATTATACAGTCGGAAGTAATGAATGTTCGGCTTTAAGTTGAAAATACTTTTTTCTAGGATCGTGTGGCGCGGTGGGAATGGGTTAGCCGAAAAGGTAGCTTCGGGTCTCCAAAAAGTGCCGCTCGTGGTTAGTGCGGCGCTAGTGTGCGCCGTTCCACTGTCTTGTGGTGCTGCGGCCTTGGTAGCAGGCGCGGCGTTTTATGCGTTTATGGTATTTTAAATTTCACTCCTACTTCCAATCACAACCTGAGCTAAATCTTAATTGAGTATTTATTACATAATATATATTTTGTCATTAAATGTGTTTGCAGCTATCAAAAATGTACGAAGAATACTTAGAAGATTATATCTACAAGCTGATGGCAAAAATCGGCAGTAAGGTATGCAGGCTGTTTAAAAAGAAACAAGAAGTCAAAGGAAAATCTAGTCTTAAAGAAAATAATAGTGTCACAAACGATTCGAATAAGCAACACGATTCAGAGAAAACAAACAATGATGAGGACAAACATAATGACTCTTCTAAAGCAATAGAAAAGACTGAGTGTCAAAATGAGACAAGTCCAGATGGAGTAGAAGATGATAAAGTTGATGAAGATCTCAATAATATTAATTTTCATATGATGCTATTCTTCATGTGGATGTGTGTAACATTGGTTAATATCCCAGCACTGTTGACTTGGGCGAGGAATTTTAAGTAGGTTTCAATTTATTCTTAGTTTGCAAGAGACCCTTTCTTATCTAGCTAACATTTATTTCTTGCCCTACAGATATAATCTAGTATTAAAACCAGACACATCATACCACACTGGTATGGTTATGTCCGCATGCTCCAGTATTATATGGCAAATGGACGGACCTAAGAAGAAATTGTAAGTGCTTTATACCATTTAAATATAATGTATTATTATTCTGATGCCTGTTAAATAAATGTATAATTTTAGGAAATACTATGACTCAGTGAGCTCTATACTTTTTACAATGGCAGTGTTTATAATTGCTCTTGGACCATTTTCGCTATTTCTTGTGAACTATGGGGTTACTTTTATGTTTGTTATCATAACCATACAACAAGTTCTTGACCATGGGGAAAAGGATGCAGTAGTCACCACAGAAGCTACTGATATAAGTATGCCAGATTCAAAAACTACAAGTTCTTCTGAAGATTTATCCACTAAAGTTGATGAATCGAAGTCAAACGAAGAGCTACCAAATAATGATAAATCTAATGATTCTCGAAATACAAGTGATAATAATGAAAATGAAACTCAAGATGATCAGTGTGATGTGTGCAATGAGAACAGAATTTACTCAACGTTTAAGAGACTCCGAGATAAGTTTAGTTTTAGTAATGACTAGTACTTCAAATATTTGTTATGTTTTTAGTTAAATTTGAAATATAGTGAATTGTATTTTTTGACATATTTGCATGTTCTTAAGAATTATAACATTTGCAGGTTTTTTTACCAGACTATGTATTCCACTGTCACATAAACACATTTTATGATGTGCAAAATAATATCAAAATTGTATATTTTATGTACATAACATAGTTCTTATTTTGCACACAAAAGTATAACAATCTAATGATTAAATGTGGATTTATTTTAATCCACATATATCTATTTATTTTGAATATTATAGAACATTGACATTACTTGAGATTACCACTTACAATTAATAAAAAGTTTAAATTTAATTTTAGTTTTTTTTATCCTATGATCTCTCTTATTCCATTCATCATTAATGCACTGCCTTTAGCTTATTATAACAAATGAAAGCAGTATAATATAACCATAATTATTTATTAATACATAGGGGAACATTTAGATCTATTTTTTTCCTTTCTTGCCTGCTGGTTTCTCATCTGTGTTTCTTGGATTCTGCCAATTTAAGGGATTACGCCTGTACATTGGCCACGGTGGCACAGTCAGAATTGCAGCTAATATGAATCCAGCGCCTAAAATGTACACCGACTGTGAAAACTGTTGCACTATGTAACCCCATATGAATCCTACGATACTGAAGAGTGTTATTATTGCTCTATAGAGTTTTTCTGCCTTTGCTTGTCCGACATAGTCGATGTGAGTCGGAATAGATTTAAAAAACTCCATTCTTAATAATACGGTACGTTAGTTTTCGATCAACTAATTTTCACAACAATACTAGACAGATCACACAAGCAACGTTTACACAGTAGGACACGTCATATCAATTGTATTTATAATCTGTGTATCACAGAATACAGTGTTTTTTACGTTTGTTCTTAAATCTCCAATAACGTCTTATTAAATGATTGTAGATTATTTGTCTAAAATGTATTTAAATAAAATTGTCTTTATAATCTGTTAGATGTTAAACGAAAAACTATGCAAAATATAGTATTTTTTTATAACTAGAAACAAATTTAAATCAAAATAATACGTCAATGTCAAGATAATAATGTATCAATACCGTCGGCGTCAGACTAGACACAATATAATTGGTTTTGTCAGTCGATTGTCAACATCCAGTACGATCAGACTCATTAGGTTAATTTTACAAAGATAGTTTTTATTTTATTTCGAAAAGATACAATTATTAAATTTAATTTTACAAAATGTCAACATTCAAACAAGTTCCTTTAACATGCGGTGGCCACACGAGACCAGTTGTGCATTTGGATTTTAGTGACGTTACAAAAGACGGATATTTTTTAATTTCGGCTTGTAAAGGTGAGTTTTGATTCATTCTTCTAGTTGGGGTGCCCTTTTGCCTTGGCCTAGATGTAGGTGGAAGACTTGCAAGTGAGTAAATTATGCGTTTGTGTTATTTCCAATCGACAGATGTTAGACCTCGTCAATTGGAAAGGCGATGATAATATGTTTATATGTTTATACAGAACAATTCATTCTATGTATGGACCGACCTTCTCTTTCCGGACATGCAGGAAGCACCTTGAAGTGCTGTTCAAGTTTCCTGTCAGGGCTTGTTTACCTTGATTCACAAGTTGTGCTTTTTACTTACAAGTGTATCAACATAACTAGTTCAATTCTCTACGCAAGTTCGTTATTGTGGTAGGGTCAGCTAATTGTCGCTTTCCGGTATCTTTGTGTTGACATTTCACTCATGCCACCACTGGGTCACCTTGTTATTTTTTCAAGGTTTTAAAAAGCACTTGACATTATTGTTTACTATAGAGCTTTTGTAAATATATTTTTACCTTTATTACATTAAAATATGTTTATTGCTTTGCTTCTTATTTTTCTTACAACTTGACAGTTTTTGTAAATTTAAGGTTCTGTTGTAACAACCTAAAGAATTAATTTGAGACATTAATTATATATGCATTTAGCTAAAAAAAATTAACTAATGTAGACTGCTAGGTGTCTTTTATAATTATTATTACTTGTTATTGTGAGTTATTGAATATATTACGTCTGTTAGTCTGTTAGCAATGCATAGTTTTAATATATTTATAAAATTCCATTTGTTCATAGATGGCAAACCCATGTTACGGCAAGGTGAGACTGGTGACTGGATTGGAACATTTGAGGGTCATAAAGGTGCTGTCTGGGGTGTGGCTTTAACTCAAAATGCAAACTTAGCTGCTAGTGGAGCAGCAGATTTTTCAGGTAAAATAAATTCTAGTTGATGAGGCATTAATACTTACCCAATTGTTTTAGGATTAGCATTATGTTGTATAATAATCATCTATGTCTTGTGTTATAATTACCATAATATGGCATATCCTTGTTGCTGATCAAGAAACATTTAAGGATATTATTTCTGGTAGTGCTCTCTCAATAGGCAGATTGAGCTATGATCATTAGAGCAATTGTTTTATCAATTATCATTTATTATAAAATTACACATTAGTTATTATTTTAATTCCTGCATCTTGAAGAAGGAAGAGTAGATTTAATGATCCCTTTCTCTGTTTTCAGCAAAACTTTGGGATGCCCGTTTTGGGGAAGTTTTGCATACATTTGATCATGAACATATAGTGAAGAGCGTAAATTTCAATGCAGATGACACACTCTTGCTTACAGCCAGTAATGAAAAACTCATCAGAGTTTTTGATCTCAACAAACCTGAAGCTGGCGGTAGGCATTATTATGTTTGATTTTAACTTGTTTTTTTAAAATCATTATGTTCAACATGTTTATGATAGTGTTATATAAATTATACATCTGTAAAAATTAAAAATATTCAAACCATACAGTGTGTCGTGCTGAATTACCATCTTCTTATTGTTTTATGTGTATTCGTTTGCTGAATATTCTACATATTTTTATAAACTTAGCATCCGTTTTAAGATAGTAATGTTTCCGATGTCCTTGCAGAGTACAAAATCTTTATACTAGTCAATGCTACTTCTAAGACAACTATCCTTTCAGCTATAGAGAAAATTAGTGCACATACAAGCAGTATCAGACATTCCGTTTTCCTGCACAATTCTCGTATTGTGAGCGTGAGCGACGACCTTACCATGCGCGTTTGGGATCGTAACAGTGGCCAGGTAAGGTTAATAAGTAATTTTCTGTTGGGGACACTTGATGAAGGCCATCAGTACACATAAATTGACCACTACTTTATTTATTTATTATTATTTATTTAATTCTTTATTGCAACACACAAGTACACAATATATTTCCTTAAAAAAAAAAAAAACGATTCCTTAAAGTTAAAACGATAAATTATTTTTACCAATTCCTCGTCCCTCTCTATAGAGGATCTCAAGTATTATTTGAATATTATAATTGTAATAAATAAAGTGTAAATTCTATTGTTTCCATGTTGGTTTTAAACTGTTTGCGGTTATAATTTCGTAAGTGAAAGTCCTTATTATCTTAAAATTTAAATTATTACTGAGTAAGATGTCTTGAGTAATAATTATTCTAATTACTGATGGTGAATCATATTTTAACAACAGAGACTTTCAAATTTTAAATTATTTCTGCATTTCTGGTGCTTTTCTTACAGGAAGTACAAAAGGTGGAGTTTCCAACAACACCGAATAGTCTAGAATTGTCAAGAGACGGCGCAGTTTTGACTGTTGCTCATGGTATGTTTTTTTGTGACTATTTATTGAGACAGATTATTAGAACATAATTAAATAAAGTAACAAGAACAGAATAAGAATTACATTGTAGGTTGTTTAATCAGACCGAACCGTCACAATGCTTTCTCTTTTTAGGTACTAATGTATCGTTCTACTCTTCGGACACCATGCGTAAGATGCGCGAATTCCCCGTACCTACAAAGTGCTATTCCGCATCTTTGGCACCAAGCCGAGCCACTTTTGTGTGCGGAGGAGAAGATCTGAAGGTTTACAAGTTTGACTATAACACGGGGACTGAACTTGGTTAGTATCGAATTGCATGTAAAACATTTTGTCTGTTTTAAATGTTTTGTGTGACAAAAAAAAGAGAAAATAGAATAATATTACTTGTCACAAAACTAAGAAATTAATCAATTTTTAAGCGAAATATGAAGAATTTTCTTTTTTAAATTAAGGACCAAGTTTGATCTCAACAGTTTATCTCATCATTCACCTGTTTGTTTTAAACATTACAAGCCTATGGTTAAAAGAGTTTTTGGCTTGCAACTACGTAACTCAAAACTAAAGATATTTGAAACTATTTTGATCCCTTTGCATAAGAAGTAAGGGGTGCGCACAGCTATTCCAAATTGAACCGAAAATCCTTCTAGGCCCGTACTATAGTTAAGCTCTTTACGTTACATTGTATAAAAATTGAGTTTTGTGCTCCAGAATCCAACAAAGGTCATTTTGGCCCAGTGCACTGCGTACGATGGTCGCCAGACGGTGAATTGTACGCGACGGGGTCGGAGGACGGGACTGTGAGGCTGTGGCAAGCGGTACCCGGACGGGTCTACGGTTTGTGGCGTCGGAGCAACGAGCCAACGCCAATGGCGAACGGGTACAAGGAGGTTGCCGCCAACTGACATCACTCTTCGGTGAGGAATAGTTAGTGTTTGGGGTTTTGGGCTACAAATGAAATGTATATATGGCTGAGACTAAATATACAATACATTATTTTAGCTATTTTGGATGTAAAGTAGGAGAAAAGCACTAAACATCATAGCAGGGTTTATAGATTTCCTTTAATATCATATGATTTATTTGGATATTTATTTAAAAAATATTGCCTCAATAATAATTAAATATTCGATAACGATTTAAATTAAAGCGTTAAGCATGAGTCTTATTGAAACAGTTCCTATATTAGGCGCTATTTGCTTTTGGGAACATAAAACCTGCTCCCACCCCCAAAAGCATAACGGGGTGGTGTGTTTAGTAGTTCTGGTGGACTTTTTCCTCCGAGGAGTGGGTACGATTTACCCACCCACTCCCCACGTCACTATTGACTGAAGTGGGCGTGCATTAAACATTCAAACCATTCAAAGTGAAAAAAAGCTGCAAAATTTATTCAATAATCTAACGATAGTGTAAAAAATTCATATCTTTACGAACAAAAGAACAAAACTTTGTTATTTAGTCTACAAATTTGACACATCTTACCCATTTTGGTAAGCTGTTACTCTAAGTCTACTAAACTAGTTTAAATTTTATAATCACTAAAGGATCAGCATTGCAGGAAATTTTTCTTTAAATAGATCTAACTCTTTTTCAGAGTGACGAGGAACAATAAACGTGCAACGAATGGATCGTTTGAAATTCGGCGATATGTTGAAAACGTAACGGAAACCCCGTGTTTTACAACCATTAGTGCGCGTTGACACTTAAGACTTTCAAAATGTGTTTGTGTTGACATTTTTATGCAATATTTACGCTCAGTGAGATGTATTGTTAGGGGAAGCAACGCAAAATGATACATGATGTGGGCTCGTTCAAGTATAACAATGCATAAATTTATATTATTACCCCACCCCTCCCCTGCCGTCCTTACCCCCTCTCATGGTAACGTACACATTTATAATATTTTCTTTTGTAAGTACCTTACCTGTTTTAGTCATTTATTAAACATAAAAAGGAAATAAGCAGAGCAACCAGACAATGGAGACGTTATACTTGAACCGCCCGCTCTTGTTTGGTTTCCTATTTAAACGTTAACCACATAACAAGCCCACGCAAGTTGACAATCGATTTGTACAAACAATCTTGTTTTACCTAGTTATTACCCGACAAAGTATTCGTCAAAACGATACTGATTATGGTTATAAATTTATGCTGAATTATTTATTTATTGTGGACTTATGTTGACTTTTCTTACAAACATCATCAATAGGTCGTCAACAGACATTAACAAAAAGCTATTTGTTCTCAAACAATTCTCAATATGTTCGAGTTTATTTGAACAACAATTTTATACTCATTAAAATATTTATTGTAAAAAGCAACTGACATAATAATTATGAAATGAAATGAAATAAAATATTTGTAAATATCTCTGTATTTTATTCTGTTCTTTTAAAAATTCTTCATGCTATATGAAGAATTTTTTAAAAATTGAGTCGGGAAAAAAAAAAAACATATATTTCACGTTATTTTTTACTATTGCTAAAATTGTACAAAATCTATAACTACTTACATCTAAATACAAATTGTAAACGCCGATATAAAAATAATTTACATACATTTAAATTATACAAGTTACTAACTAGGCAGTGTTCATCTTAAATTCGTCTACAAATTAAAAATACTTTTCAATCAGGGCTCGGCAACCATTTAAAATATAAAGTAGTAATAACCTGCGTTTTCTAGTTATAAACATTGTGTTATTTTTAATCCTTTTGTAAGTGTTTGGTAATATCTATCTTCGAAAACAATATACAGTAGCAAAACGCACAATTTATTGTCATTAAACAACATTGTGTATGTTTCCGATCCCTGACTTATTACAAATGGTAACAAACTGATCCTCTTGAAGCTTTGTTATTTGAGTTTATAATTAAAGCTTTTCAGATGGCTTTTGCTTTTAAGTTACATCAGATACACAGTCGTTAACTTTGATTTTAAACATACCTTTTGTACAAACGTTTTTACCATATTAAATTGACATGGTCTTGAAAATAATTGAAATACTAATGATCTTAATCTGTGTCAATCTTTTTTTACCTAAGGACACTTTATTTATTTCTAGATATCCATAGATTTATTTCCACGTTTCAGTTAGTTTTCAAAATATAACTTAGCTCAGATAACACACTGAGTAGTATGACAAAGATTCATTCTTAATATAGAAATATATAGTGCTTTTAAAGGACGGAGCACCTATTTTAATGACTAATTACACAAATATATCGTATTTTATTATCTAAATATTTACACTAAAGCCGGTAACTACGTAGTTGGACTTTTTGTAAAAGCAATGTAAAAGGGTTTTTAATAACCTGCTTGAAAATGAGAAAACAGGTTATTAAAAAGTTCTCGTTGGGGTTTTCACTAAGTTTCTTATAAATAAAAACGGGGTTCAGGGTTTTATTTAGGTTCTAAGTTTACGAGTGTTGCCAAAAATTATATATATATCGTTAGAAACACCAAACTTGATGCCAATTCTAAAATGTAACACACTCAAAACAAAGGAATGTTTACCTTCCAGGCGATTTTAAATTTAATTCAAATTAAGTTTCGACACCAAAAATACTTTCGAGACAATTAGAAAGCAACACAAGATTACATTGCATTGTTTCGTTAAATAATCATTAAGAAGAACATTTATTCCTAGGTCTTCTAATTTGACTTGTTTGAGTATTTTATTCTCTCACGCGCTTTAAATCACTTGGCGATGAACGGGGTCAAGTCTGGGAAGTTGAAGTTTATGTTAGGTCTGCGTGGAGCCCGCGATGGTGGGGCTGCGCCACACTGCGCGGTGCACACGTCGTCACGTAGGATAGCTTCACGCGGCCATTCCCGGGATAACTGCGCGCAGTCGGTTATACGGAGGGACGCGCATTGGGCCTATACATTTTAATTTATTAGATAACCTTCATATTAGCTTCATTTAGGACATTGGCTGTAATTTTACGCGAGTAGTTTATATTTAAGTAGAAACACTAACGGTTTAAAACGCGAAATATATTATCCGAAACTTCGGTTCGAAGTAACATTTTGTAATATAAGCTTGACTAATATATTTCGCGTTTTTCATCAGTTATCAGTGTTTATTTAGAATATTTAGGATGTTTAAAAAACACTTTTTACTGTTATATTTTTAACCAAACAAATTTAACATATCTACAGATAGTTATATAGTTATTCTTATAAATTCCTTATCTATTGTAGCCGGGGAATTAATGAAGCGATTATAAAATATGAGATTTACATCTTGTCTTATTCTAGAGTTTCAGTTCTAATCTGTGGTATCATTCATGATCACACCTATCTAAATAAGTTGTTTATTGTAATTTGAATAAATAAACCACATTAGGCCACAGTAATTAATATTCCTATATGTTTCTTGAAGACTTTCCTTATTAAAAAGGTAATTAAATAGAGAATACATATTTACCCCTTCAGCGGTACAAATACACGAAGTACACGGAGATGGGAAGGCTGAGTCACCGAGGGGAACAGCGCGTCCCGCAATGAGACATCCTTGCGCGGAATTTTCCCGCCACGCTGAGAGATCTAGCTTAGGTAGAGATGCGCACGAGACTCGAGGGTTCCTAATTATCATATAACTATTATTAGTAAGAAGAAATAATGCGTTATTATTGTAGGGAAAGGTTGAAGACGGGGACCACACATAACTTTGTTCGACAAACTCTATTGTTACCGATAATGAAAGTGTGATCGTCAACGGTCATATATAACTAAACATCAAGAAAAAATTGAAATTATTGATTTGCTTGAATTGGATTGATGGACATAAGTGTGGACTTAGAAGTATCCCTGAGTACGTACAAGAAATTGCTCGGCAAATCGAACGCAGCACGTTGTATATCAGTTGGAATATCGAAGTTATCGCAAAGAACCTTCGAGAGAGTAGACTTCCTGATCTCAGCGAGCTGCTGCTCTGTGAATCTGGCTGCGGCGTTGTCGTTTTCATACCTGAAAATAAATCTTATCTTTTATCTATGCCAGCGACTTCGTCAGTCGAATATGTTGCGCGTCAAAATGTATTTTAGCAAACCTCCTCATCTTTTAAAGCGATACTTTTACCGTCGTGTGTAAAAACTTTGTAAGTTAATCTTAAAAGATAGACATATACTGATGAGGACATTTTTTTAGATCATTTAGTCGCAGTGTGATGTTTTATAGCCTTAAGTCTTTCTCGATAAATGCTCTAATCAACACAAGAATTTTTAAATCGGACCAGTATTTCTTAAGATTAAGGCATGCAAGCAAACAAACTCTCATCATAATTAATGGTGTATATATATGAATATATTTAGTATTGTGGCTAAACACAAATTCAATACAGTTTATTTATTTATAAAATGAAATAAATTTTCAATTCTTTGAAATTGTTTAATTATGCGTCTATTGGTTTTTTGTACGAATATCTATCAATGAGAAATATAATATTAAACATATTATGTATATGACTATATATAATAAAAGATCATTAATAGTTTACATACCAGAAACGATCACATTTTCCTCAGTTGTCGGAATTGTATAGCTATGATGCAGGCAAAAGTGGGTCCCACGAGACCTCCCTGTAGCGGCCTCTCACTCATACCACCAGGGAATAGATCGATGTCATCAACAGTTGGGTAAATTCGCTTGAATCTAGAAATACAACATATTTAAGTAAATTTATATGTCTTACAAGGTAAGTAATTGCTACGACTTTAAATAGTCATAGTTACTGTGTAGCAATAACTCCCCCTTTTTAGTGAATAACAAACAAACAAACCTCACCCTCATTATATGGTTTGTTGTTTGTCAAACAAAATTTACGTGACTCAACAGATAAACCTTGTTTGTAAGTTCTTGGTTAGAATCTCGGGAAACATGAAGAATAACTTTGGACGGACATGACATTGACGTCTAAATAAGATTGGTAAAATCAACACGAGTCTGCCCCATACCCCGAATGGGGGAAATGGCGTTAACATACATACACAGGGAACTCTTGTAATGACTTAAGTGTATAGTATTTTTAGTCTACCGATAGAACACATTAAATAAAACACTTTAATGGTTTAAAACGCGATATATTAGTTAAACTTATTTGAAAATGATTTTTAACTTCGACCCGACGTTTCCCCAGTCTCCCCGTGACCACGGCTGCTGCAAAACATCCGAAACGTCGGGCCGAAGTTAAAAATCATTTTCAAATAAGTTTAACTAATATATCGCGTTTTAAACCTTTAAAGTGTTTTATTTAAATGTATAGTGATGGTTAAACAAATTACCTGGCAATAACTTCATCAGGGATCTCCCTAGAAAGATCTTCAAATGTGGTAGCTCTCTTCAAATTACACAAAGCCCTGTAATTGTTATAACTCGGCAAACCGTGATCTCTGGCTCTTTGGATGTTAAGGGCAACGAGATCAATTCCAGAGAACGGAATCTTCCTGTCTTCGAAGAGGTGGTTGGTTACTTCGCCTGTGATAAATTGATCCAGCGTTTCCATTGGAGTTGATGCAAGACCACGCATCAGTTCGTCAACTATGGGTGGGTGCTGAAAGGAACATAATGGTGAAATATATTTTTTGGTACGTTACGATTAGTCATTTTTTAAAGTCTCTTAACGCATTTGTCCTTAACTAGAATCGTAGTGCCTATAATACAGACACATGTGTTCATAAACCACTCCCTTTAGTCAAAGAGGGTGATAAGTCTTGGTTAACATCATATTGACTATATGCCACTTCAGATATTCTTAAAAAAAATATCCGTAAATAATCAGTGTCAATTATTGGTGAAATGTTTGAAAGAAAAATGCGTTTTACTTACATTCATAAACATATCAGGCCTGAAGAAGCCATCACGAAGTAGGATTGGTGGGTCGACAGGCTGATAAGTAGGTGACAGCCGAGGAAGATGCGGTCTCAGCAACGAGTGACCGAATCGGAATGATGCTGCAGCAAATTCATTTACGATGGAAGGGTTGCAGGTGGGCGAGTATTCTTTGTAGTAACCTGATAAAAAAGGACAAATTAATATAATGTATATTTACATATTGTATATGACCAATGCAAAAGAAGGAAGTAATCAGAAGTGGAGTTTACGATATTTCAAAAAGAAAGCGATGAACTAAAATGTTACTGAGACTTCTCTAATATACTTGTAATGATTCTTGATACTTTTGATGACCATGACTCATAACTTGGTTGGTAACTTTCATAGTTGTTAAATATAAAAAAAAATGCAATGAGTGTAATAGTAGTGATCACATAGTGTATGAGTTTTTCATTCTTTAATTATATAATTTACCTAAGCTCTCAGGTATGATTCAACGCCACTTTGCATGAATAATTTACAAAAAACAAAAACCAAAGGGATCATAGTAACCAACCTGAAGGTTGCAGTTTAAGTCCATACAAGTTGACAGCATTCCACGAGAGCAATCTTGGCAGGAATTCATTGTAAATGATATGTGTAAACTCAGCAGCAACAATTCGACGGGCATTTTCAAAAAGCAGGTCTGCGTCCCAATGTGGGTTGACACCTCGAAGACCTTCGACGATGCGATTGTGTTCACGCATCCAGATGGTGTGTAGGGCTGTTAGACCGGGTTGTTCAGAAGCTCTACCATCCCCTGTAGAAGTTCAATTATTGGATATTATAGAAAAAAATACCCTTCAATAAAATCGTTAATGTGTCTAATTTTGTCTTAACACATCCCTTAAGTAAAAGTTAATTATTCTACTTACAATAATTTTACTATGCTTAATATAATAAAGTCTTTATTGCTGTTTTTTTTACAATATTATTATTATATTATGTTATTATTATTAACTTCCACTTTGCTATCGATATGGGACATTAAAGTTTTACAAACAACAAGTTTTTTGATAGGAACGATTTGAGAAATGTCTAATCAATTATCCCGACAAACATAGAAAACTTAACACCCAATAATACTTATTTACTGTACCAGCATTAGATTTAATCTGGTGAAAAGATGCAAGGCGTTCTTTATGTCGTATAGTAAAATACGGCATTATACTGCATAGCAATTATTTAACACTTAATTTTTTACAGAATTATGAAAGTGATCACTAATATTAATGATGGACGTAAAGAAAACGAAGTTTACAACACAACGTACCGGCAATAAAGCAGAAGCCACTTGGAGCTTTACACTCGGGATGGCTATCAGTACGAGGAAGCAGTTCTCGTCCATTGTGAGGGTTAATCGTGGCGTTGAGACGACCATTAAAACCACGTAGTTTACGGACTATACACGGATTCTCTCCGTATATGACGGATGCGTCAATAAATGCTGTGTTCTGGTTCACTTGTTCACGGGGTCCTAGATAGAAAATGGATAGTTATTAATACTTTAAAAGCAGTTATTGAATTCGCATACGATTATTCCCATTAAAAAGTAACTGGCCAAAGTGTGACCTATTTGTTTTCGATCACAGGATACGACATATCATACGATAGAGTTACGCGAAAAAGGGATCGACATAGATAATGGCTTGTGAGTTGTATAGATTCCGTGTTACCAATTAATTGGTCCAGAAAATAAATTATCCTCACCAAGTTGTTGTTGTCCAGGCAAACTTCTCATGAATGGGAAACATAGCCTCTCGCCGGAAGTGACGTTGACTTCGGGATAGTAGTGGTCCCCTCGTGGCACGGGGAATGGGTTGCATTCAGGATGCACTGTTCTGGGTGCGTCACATGAACGACAATCTGGGATTGATTCGTGGAAACCTAGAAAAAAAAAAACAAGAATTAGAATAGTGGAAAACGAACTAGTGACAAAAGTAATGTAAAAGTGTCTTACCTTTATGAATAGGCGTCATGGTGAGCTCGTGGTCGACAAATTGAGCGAACTGCATCACCATGAGCGTATACCGCGTGTGCAGATTGGAGATGTCCGGGTGGATCACAGTGGAGACGATGCGAGGAGATGGGAGTGGTGTACCAGTCACTGTGTTGATACGCGGTCGGCTCACACCTTTAAAATATTGATCGTTTTTGAAGATTTACCGTTTTTTCTTTTGTTATTTTAAGTACAAAAAAAAGCCATTATATTATTAAGAGTTATCACAATAAATATAAACAATATAAAATCTTAACAACGAAGTCCATTAAAACTACAAGAAAAAATTGTCGAAGAAACTGCTTGTTCGTTAAATACATTACTTGTAACTTCACAGAACAAATCAAGGAACCTAATAAGCTTGTGGATATTATTTTTAAGATTACGTTAGCTAACTTTAGTTTTTTTATCAATGTATAATGTACATTGTTCTCTTTTCTTTAATGTTTTACACACGTGCAAAATAAACTTACCATCTTCATACACGGGTGGTAATAATCTTGCGAATGTCGTCAAACTTTTGCCCAAATTAGGGTTTCTCAAGTTATTGCAGTGGCCAGTATAGGTTCTGAAGGGATTGTTGGCATCACAGGCACCATTGTCGTCACAATGGGGTTCAATGACTGGTCCCAATTGGTCTTGCCCCAGGAAACTGCTAACGTCAACTGATTGTAAAGAGTCGACGAATTCATTAGACGATCCAAAACCGATTGAGTCACCAAATATTTGACGTTTGCGACGACGGCTGTAATAAAACATTTGATACGATTTGAACACACCGTCATGGATACATGTAAGTTATTACGATCCATAGGTAAAAAGGTTCTACAACTAGTGAGCAATAATTAAGTATTCTTGGACTACTTACAAATAAAATCTCTTCACAAAACGGGTACACTATGGACCTAAAGCTAGTTTCATTGTTGAAGTTTGTTTTTATTATGTCTATTTTTATTACATCTCATTGAAAATGCAATCAAGCTTATGAGAAATAAAGTCTTCTATAAACCTAAGCATGTTTTTAATATCTTGAATTGTTGTGGTCAACTTACCCATTAGAGTTCAGAAGTTCATTCGTCGCAAATTCGAAGAAAAGGGAAGTATTCGCCAGTTTAAGCGCGTATTTGTTTGCTTTTGAGAAAGACGCAGCTGTTCCTACTGGTGATTTGGGGTCGGCTCCGCCCTCTAAAAAAATACCCACACATTAAATAAGATCTTTCACATAGGCGCACTGTTACCACGTCAAAAGAATTTGATAAACAAATTACAAATACTAAGCATTTTTTGCAAGCAAACCGGAAGGTTTGAAGGGGACACGGGAAGAGTTGGATGACCCAAATCTCTGCAAGGAGGAAATGAGGAAATGGGTGAAATGGTCAGCGGACAACGTGGACTGATCACCCGTTCTGCCAAGGGTGTCCCCGATAGAAAATAATAATAATAAGCATTTTTTAAATCACCATATATCAGCTATATTCTTTAATTATTAAACTTTATGTCAATAATATCAATTTCATCTTCAAAATGAAGTAAACAAAGAACTTACGCGACTCCCAGAGCATGTACTCCAATTTCTTTCTATCAGCCATTTCCTGTTTAGCCTTTTCAAGTGCAGCTGATAGCGTATCTTGAGAGAGTCGTTCAGCAGCACGGGCCCCGCTTTCATCCTTCCACGCGGTTAGTTCTAGACGCCCATGCTGTGCGCATTGCTGCGCTGCATTTCTGTAATAAAGATTTGGTTAAATAAAACACTTTAAAACGGTTTAAAATGCGATATATTAGTTAAACTTATTTGAAAATTATTTTTAACTTCGTCCCGACGTTTCGGTTGCTTTGCAGCAGCCGTGGTCACGGGGGAGCTGCTGTAAGTTTAAGTAATATATTACGCGTTTACCGGATTTATTTCTATTATTTGAGCGGTTAGGTAGGTAAACTTGCCGCAGTATCTAGACGTGAAATAAATATGCACGTCTTTTGGTATATTTTTTTGATATTCCTTTATAGACTTACAAGAATGGATCTTCCTTGACAAAAGCTTTAGGCTGTATGTTCGTGAGAGACTCGTCGTTGGCACATAGAAGACCTGCCAATGATACTTTTCTCATAGCGCCCAGTTGCTCAGGGGAGAACGATGATGGTGGTATGTCGTTTTCATACCAGAACCTGAAATTTGTGAATGTTGGAACATTAGGATCATCTTTGTATTATATTATAGAAGTTTGTATTATAGAAGTGCGAGCAAAATAAAAGCGACAAATTCTGTCTTTTATTGGTTAAGATTTTATAGCGATACGAATGATAAACTAGGTCCGACCCCTCATTACGGATAATCCATATAAAGTATTATATCAAGGTGTAATACTAGTGCAAACTGTACGGATTAGGTAGAAAGTATTTTTTTAATTTGTTAACTCATTGAATGATATTTAAATAACCAGTATTATTTTGATGTATATTTTCACAGCTATTAAAATTACCTGTCACTCTTCTTAAGATTAGCGAATTGCATAGCAAGCACACAGGCTAATGTGGACCCAATGACTGCCCCCGTTGCAGGTTTTTCCATGGCTCCTCCCACTAAGAGTTCTACGTCTTCAGCATTTCTATAAAGAACAAGATTTCTATTAGAGTGTCTCTATAAATCGTAGGATGCAGTCAATATGTCGGAAATGAAGTTGTTCGAAACATTTTATTTGATTAAAGGAGAAGTACCCCGGTTATAACATCTAAACAAGATATCCTGTCCATCTATTTTGGCTTTGGAGATTCAGAAAACCACAGAGTAAGGCATATACTTCACTTCCATTTGATGTCCAGATGGACGTCCAACATGTTTCGGAGAAATTATATTTTGTTACAAAAAACATGTTGGCATGGGACGAAGGAGTCCGAAATCCTATTAAACCTATACAATAATCATTGACCACTACAAACGTCAAATAACATCACTTAAATACGAGTTTACCTATACATGTCCGCCATAATTTCCTGTTGTGTTCTACCGAAGCCCAGCTTCTCGAAATCTGCGTATGACTTGACAGTGAGCATTGGTTCACACATCCTCAGCACACGCAGGTATGTGGGTACTCCGTGGTCTCGGTTACGCTTGACATCCCATTGCGCGGAGGAGGGTAGTTTGGACACGCTGTGAGCGCCTGTTTGAACTAAATCCTTAATGGATATGGTGGCGTTGATCTGCAACACCAAAAAATTGTATTGTAATATGATTCTACTTGGTGTGTTTGTATATTGTAAAAACTACATTTTACTTTTGTACATTAGATAACTAACTTAATAAGTAATGTACAAAATTTATAGAATATGCAATTGGTAACCAATCCGTTCCTTTCCCTTCCTAAGCTACTCTTTACGATCTCTTAAAGCAACTTTATATATAACATTTAAATACTGTCTGTAGTTTACGCGAGTAATACACATTTAAATAAAACACTTTAACGGTTTAAAACGCGATGTATATTAGTTAAACTTATTTGAATTTTATTCGTCGGGCCGTAGATAAATTTATGTTATTAAAACTGGCTTCTTTTGAACTATATCTAATAATATCTAACTATTTACTATATTACAGACTCACCAATTTCTCGTTCATCATGGCATCGAATATTGGCGCAACTGAAAGGATTTCTGAGTATGTTCCAGCACGGTTTGCGCTGGAGTAACCACGCCAGAATCCAAGAGACGTTAGTTTTAACTCGGCCTTTGCCATTCCGACCTGAAAACGTATTATTTTATAGTAATAACCGTGCTGTTAAAATGGACAAAAAGGTTTTATATGTTTAGATAACATTTTTGTATTATTATAATGTGGTTTACAAAAGAGTTATAGCCCATATTACGTATACAAGTAATTTTGTACTAAGCTTGGGTATTTTACATTGTAAATAATATTATAAGCATGTAAAATGTGTATGTGTATTTATGTATTAACGAAACGTTTTGAAAACATTAATATTTTTCACATGATGACACTATATAATTTAAACATTGAAAATAATGCAGGGTAGTTTAATTTGTAGAGCAACAGCACGGAACGCTGATGATGCGGGGTCAATAATTTTTTTCGATTTTTAAATTGAAGTTTTAATCAAAAGACAAGTACTTTTCGAAAATCTATTTTCACTTTTAACTTATTTTTTATTATTGAATTTAAGACCTAGTGCGCATTGGTTTTATAATGAATTGCTAAAAACAAAATTAAACATTTGACTACTTGGTTAAGTACCAAGAAGTCAAATGTTTAACTTTGTTGTTGCTAAATAGTTTATTTATGAACTCAACAACAGGTGTCCGGCTCAAATGAATTTCTCATATGCCATTAAGTTCCGCATTATTGTCTTACATACCTACTCGATCGAGTACCACGTTCTTTTATTCTTTAATTCGCTCAATGGGACATTAAAATAACATGTATTCGAATTCAAGGTTTTATGAGTTTTATTCTCGACTTCGCTTGTATTAAAAATTTTGACACTACTTTCTAAGAAAAAATATTTTTCTTGTTTAGCACTTAAATAAAAAACTAAATGATCCATTATTTATATTGAAACTATGCTCAACCAATAAGAATTGTATGCATGACATCAAATCTTATCATTACATTTGATTTTAATTCGGCTTTAGGTTTTACGTTACTGGTCTCGTTAAATAACTGTAGTAACCTTTTTCCGATCTGTGCTGTATTTTTGGATATGACCGTGTACATAATAAAGATCCAAAGATTTATTTCAATTATTTTTAATGGAAAATTATTTCTAGTTTGAATAAGAAATGTAGGTATATTTATTTTACAAAGAAACTTTCTATATTGCTATATTTATATAGATTCTTACCTCTCCCAGTAAAACTGGTAAGAATTCGTTGTATGTGATGTGCTGTATAACTGCTGCAAGTGCTCGTCTGCTTTCCAGGAACAAAGCATTGTCTTCCCAGAAAGGATTGAGTGTGTATAATTCCCCAGCAATGCGATTATGTTCTGATAGTAGGGCCTTGTATAATGGGGCAGTTGGGGATCTATCATTGCATCTAAAAAGAGGTAGCACAATATTTAGTTAGGAACTAGGATTTTTTTAGATATAGTAATAAACGATTTTTTTTTAAGATTCGTGCAGTTAGCATTGTACCAAGAGACTAAATATTTTTTTAATCGTAATCTGTTACTTGTTTTATATTTTTAACATTCAGGTTTTTCTCTTTATTTTTTAACGTTTAAAAACGTTAATAAACACAACTTTCGTTTGTTTTTTTAAAATGGTTGTTACTTTGTATGTTTAGTTCTATCTATTAGTGTGTTTTTATAACCTGCCAGTATGAGAGGAGGTGATTGTTTTCCATTTTGACCAGTCACAAAATATATTGCTTAGATTATGTATATATATCTATGCGGCTGGCTTTAAATAGAAAACATATTTATTTAACAGATCAGTATACAATTTTGCACGATCATAGGGTTTGTATTTGGGGTGAAATAAAATGCACACGTAGATATAAAGAGCTATGTGCATTTCCAATTCTATCCACAACAATTATGCTTGGCTATATATTTTTGTAGATTCAACACCTTGGTATGCAGATATAATTCGATATTTAAATATAATAGCTACATCCGTGTGATGATAAAAAAGTCGTGAGAACACGAAGCTTACTTTCGACATGAGGCAAGGTCGATTTTGCCCGCATCGTACAGACGTAGCGATCGTAGTTCCTTTTCAGAGCTTCCGTATAGTGCGGAGCCGTCGAGGACTGATGTTGCCAAATTCATCTGTTCTCGGTGTTCTGAAATTAAACTTTAGTTAGGTATTTTGTTCTTTTATAACATTTATGAGGTAGGTATGAAATACCCTAGCCTATAGCATCTAAACAATTTGCTCTGTCAAAATATTTTAGCTTTGAAAACAAAAAAATAAGCAATATTAAAAATCTGGACGAAACTCAAAACACACAATAGTACCTAGCATTTTAAGTGATACAATTTTAATTAGATGTAAATTTGCATTCTTTGGGCTTGAAAATTGCTTACCAAAGTTACATGAGTCCAAGTTTCTTGTCGGCGCTGATCTAATGTATTCACAAGCTGATCCTTCACATTTCTGAAACAAGTAGAAAATATATAAATACATGTATCTAACACAATAAAATATAAGGCTGACAATATTCCAAATATGTTTATTAGAAATTTTATAAATTGATTAGAAACAACTTGGAACCCAAGACCCGTTGATTATTATATATAAGCCATACATAGCCAATTACCATTATAGAAACGAAGCCGTCAGTCATATTAAGATAATAATACTTCAGATATTTGGAAGTCATCTTTCAAATAATTAAAACACGATACTGCATAGCTTAGACAGTAATACATCCATTGTTTAATGACTGATTGACCTGAAGACAACTTTCTCTGATAAAAATGAAGATAAAATAATGTGCATTAGTAGACAATACAGTCTACTAATGCACATTATATTGAAACCTTATTATTTTTCACATCTTCTCTATTGATAGCTTTATATGAATCTATTGGAAAAAAATGGCCCAGAATTTCATGCTGTTTGCTCTAACTAAAACAGATAATACATCTCAATCGATAAGAGCAAGATCACGGAACGTTGTAGTCGTGTAATTGAGCCCCATCAATGTCGTATTTGTTTTAATAAATGCAGCTTATATTATATTTATATTGAAGTTTTAAATATACATATTTTTTAACTTTACTTAAAGATTACTTTTAACGTTTTAAAACGCATATACTAAATTATATACTTTGTTACGCACTGACTTTGACATTAGGGGCGCCCACTATTTTTATTCCCGGCCTCCGAAACGTCGGGCCGTAGTTAAAATAAGTAGTAAGTACATAAGTTAACTAATATATTTTGCGTTTTAAACCGTTAAAATATGTTATTTAAATTTGTACTACTGGTGAAAACTACAAGTACTATATGCTGCTTAGTTGTTCTAGTGGTTAGTAGACTTGTTTGACTTGTCAGATCACAAGGTCCGAGGTTCGATTTTAAGTTGGGCGACATTTTAATGCGATGTTTGCATATTTTTCCGAGAAAAATTTTACCATGCTCTAGGTCAAAAAAAAACCTGTGCCCAGAAGTAGGATATTAATAGTGAAACGATGATTAATATATCAGATTCTAGTTCGTAATGCGATACGAGGAACTGAATTGTGTGTTATGTCATAGCTTTCACTGAATACCTGTTCGATGTAACCTTTCTACATGCGACCTATCACGAACTCAAGATGTCTTTGTCACAAAGAATTTTAACGACCAGAATTGTACATTTTACGCGTGAAGAAAGCATTAAATTTTATCGGACACGCCTACGGCAGCTAAAAAAGACTTATTAGCTTCGACGAGCTCGTAGGTATTACAGCAAATTGCAGATATATTGCTGTAATCTAGCGTAGGAATGTAGGACTAATAATCAAACAAATCGGTCCAATATTTGTCTAATTTTTCTGAAACATTACGTTACAACTTTGTTTGGAAATCTAGTTGTTAAATATGTAATAGGACTAACTAAATTCAGCCCGGAGCCACGGACCATTAAAGAAAAAGCCGTCAAGTTTAATAGCGTTTCGGTTTTAGTCTATGGATTTCCGAATATCCAAAGCCAAAATAGGCCGATAGCGCATCTTGATAACATAAAACCGAAGAGGGCTCACATCACGCCGTTTCTCATAAAATCAAACTCACTGAAGATGGAACATAGAAGAAATCTGCATCTAGCTGGACAGGTCTTTAAACTCGTAAAGACTAGCAGGCCAACATACCTCTACAATAAACTAGAATGGCAGAAGGACTCCCATTTACTAAATACTCGCAGTAAAGATAAGCTTCAGCTGAACCCAAAAACGAGTGGTTTTCAGGGTTGCTTTAAGTACGCTGCAAGTAAGGTGTGGAGCACTTTTTCGCCATCAATAAAAGAGGTCAAATCATATTTACCTTTTAAAAAAAACTAAAAATCGTTCTTCTCGCCATTCAACGAAAAAGGTATGTGGGCCTATACCTTGTTCCGCAGTCTTAACTATGTATTCTGGCAACCATAATTTATTTTTGTTTTTATTTTATTATATAATTATAAATATACATGGTTAGTTTTATTTTACTCTCATTTTTTTTTTTCACCTTACGTAACTCACACACGCACTCACATTTTTAATTTGTTACAAAGCTTCGGCCAGAGGGAGCAGACTGAAAAACAGCGCTGTGTGATCCCCTTCGTGCAGCATTCAGCTGAGACTGTATCCCGACGTGCCATAAAATTTTAGGTTAAGAATCTAGTTTTAAGTATTTTGTGGCATTAAATATTTTTTTCTTTCTTTCTTTCATATTATATCACCTACCATCAAGTGTCCTCTATGTTTGTCTGTCCTTCTCTATTATAAAAAAAATCGGTTTACAGTTCTTACGTGTTATATATTGTTTACGCGATTAGTATACATTCAACTAAAACACTTTTAGTGGTTTTAAACGCGAAATATATTATTTGTATTCAACTGTACAATATGCGGCCTTCTATTTAGACATACCGATGTTTCTCAAGAGACGCGGCAGCCTGACAAGCCGAGTTAAAGCAAAGGAACTGGCTAGGTAGCGCTAAGAGTATCTTAAATATTGTCTATAGTTTACGCGAGTAGTACATATTTAAATAAAACACTTTAACGGTTTAAAACGCGATATATTAGTTAAACTTATTTGAAAATGTTTTTTAACTTCGGCCCGACGTTTCGGATGCTTTGCAGCAGCCGTGGTCACGGGTAGACGAAACGTCGGACCGCAGTTAAAAATCATTTTCAAATAAGTTTAAAAAACCGGTTTTAAAACTTACGATATAGTAGCCTGTATCTTTAAACCTATTTAATGTAAACACATGACACTACGTGTGTTTAATCATATCCATGGGGACACTAAAAGCAAAAATTTCATGAACCTCAAAAGGTTTACAAACTTCAAAACAATATCCGGCGGCCTTCTATTTAGACATACCGACGTTTATTCGAATCTACACAAGAGAATTAACCGCGTAATTGCTTACGACAATTTAATGGGAAACACCTCATTATTAGAATAATCTGTGGTTTAATGTCAAACGCGGAATGCCGAGCGTTAGCGCGTGTAATCTAATTTAACTGTGTCATTAAGTAGATGTTCATTTATTAGCGGTCGGTTTAATACTATTAAATTAGTATTATTCTCTAAACTGATGATACGATTTAATCTAATATTATAATGCGTAAGAGTTTTGTTTGAAAGCTAATCTCAGAAACTTCTAGTTCGCATTTGAAACATCTTATTGTGTTGGTTGGACTATTTATCGAGGAAAGCGTTAGGCAATGACATCACGCTGCGACCAATAGGATAAAGAGGAAGAATGGGAAATGTGGGGCAAACGGGGCAAATTATTTAAGTGTGGCTTCGTTGTGTGCGCTGCGATAAAAAAAACAAAAAAAAATATGTACGATAGATTGATGTATCTTTAAATGAACTAAAACAATGTCCGCGGCAATATATGTCTATCTTTTAAGATAAACTCACAAGAATGATGGAACGCGGCCAACATCGATGGCAACGATTATAATTATAAAGCATAGGTGATTGTTTTACATACATTTAGATGCTCAAAATAACTATTTCATGCGGACATAGGACAGGCATTTCTTTCGTTCCCTTCTTCTTCCGTTTACTATTTTTATATACAGGTAAATAGTTGATCAGTCTTCTGTGCTCTGTCTGAACGAAACAATCTATTGTTTCCACGGGATTTAAACCCAGGACTTAATGCAACATGTTTATACAGTAGCTACAGAGGTTACACACCGATATAGATTATTACCTTGTTTCCATTAGCAGTTGAAATTAGGTCGTCCATAATGAATTGTCCCCAAGCTGCCAACATGCTGGTGACATAGTCGTGGTCCTTGGGCTGTGCCAATTGTGAAACGGCTTGCACTGCTAAAGTAGCTTCGGGGATGTGAGGTGATGAGACCGGCTGTGACACTCCTAAAAACAGTACACAATATTATAGTATGAATCATTGCTTTTATATGTGTTGTTGATTAGATACATAAATGATTGATACATTTATTTATTTTGTAGGAGCTTATAGGCCCGTCATATTAAATATAAGGAAGACTAAAAAAAATGGTACTTTCAATGGACAAAGACTTATCTATCTCATATCCACGCTAAGATAATAGAGATTAAAATTTACCAGCCCTGTCCGTGGTTTCGGCCCTGTGGAATAGTTAATTTGGGACATCAAAATTTATTTTTGCAAATAATATCCTTAGCTTTATAAAATATAACTGTTTTGTCGTCCTCCTACTTGCGAGTTAATCTTAAAAGATGACATATTGACACTATCGAAAATTTTTTTACATCATTTACTATATATAATACAAAGTTTTTGGTTTGATTAAATAATAACCCGTTTTTCCAAATTTTCCCGCTGTTGCTCGGCGTAGCATAAAGTTATATAGTCTTAACCCTTCCTCAAATTATACTCTAACCAAGACAAAAATATATTTTCGATTCGAACCAGTAGTTCTTTAGATCAAGGCGTTTAACCCAAGAAACTGTTCACCCTTTATAATATTGGTGTAGTTAAGAAGTCTAATTAAGAAAGTAATACATACGATCAGCATAGTTAGGAGGTAGTAGCCTCAAGAAGACGTCGCCCCTTCTGCCCCATGGTCGATGTCGGACGTTGTTGCATTCGCCACTCGCGCTTCGGTACTTGCTCGGGGGGCAAGGGGTATTGCTCAACTCGTCTTCCTCGGATGAACAGTCTTGTCTACGAAAAACATTGTTTCAAAATTTTTTTACTAATAATTACCGTAAGAACATATTTACTTACAGAAATTATACAACATACAAGAAAATACAAATGCGTTACTATTTAAATTAAATATCGATTTTAGACAGGGCAGGACTTGAACGGGCATAACGCAATTATACTACGTATTTCTAATTTAAAAATGTTACTACTCACTGTATATTTCCGCCCTGAAGAAACCTCCTCTCCAAAGCCAAAGCCTCGCTCGCCGCCCTTCGTAAATCGCTTGGTACCGTCTGTACATTGCTTTCTTCTAATCTGTCTTTCTGGGCTTGTGTTACTAGTAATAACGCCAAAAGCATAACGCTCTGGCTAAACCTGTAACAAGTATAAAGATCTATAAGTCTTTTATCTATATATATTTTATTAATTACAATGAGGAAAAAGGCAGGGAAACATTTTGAGAGTAGAGATAGAGTTCAAAGATATATAAAGTGATAAGATAAATGTGAAGTATATTATTTTACTTATTTTTCATGTTATTATCGTTTGCTGTGTGACCCCGGGTGCTGCAAAGCATCTAAAATGTAGTAGTTAAATTCAATTAAAAATAAGTTAATTAATATATTTCGCAGTTTAACCTGTTATAAGTATTTAACTCAAATGTATACTACTTGCATAAATTACAGACAATGCTTTAGACAGAAATATACTTGAAGGAAAAAGAACAATTAAACTAAATACTGTCTATGGTTTACGCGAGTAGTACACATTTAAATAAAACACTTTAACGGTTCAAAACGCGATATATTAGTTAAACTTATTTGGAAATGATTTTTAACTTCAGCCCGACGTTTCGGATGCTTTGCAGCAAGCGTAAACAATTAAACTTTTATCTCTCTCTTTCTTCTCTAAAAATATTTAAGTTATAGGTAAGGAACTTGCTTTAATATAATACGGGGTTAGTGACACAAATTAAAAAAACATTCGTTTAAGAATAAATGTAACGACGTATTACTGAATGGGTGTACACTGAAATTTTTCATTCGAAATTTAAACTTATGACCTAAAAAGTTGAGAACGCGACCGAACAAGGCTTACGATAGAATTTCCTAGTTCTATGTCAAGTGGTTTTAATGACAGGAAAACCGTGAAATACTTAACTAACGCTACGTTTTTTTGTTTAAGCGAGTTGCGATGCATTTACCTACGCTCGATTTAATAACATAGAACAATAACAATCATTAATAATTATAGCCTTGAAACCTCGTGGTACGGTGTTTTCGATAGCATGAAAAATGGTTTAAATCTATGTTTGTCCGGCTTTAACTCCGAAACTACTGAACTGATTTAAATGAAGTTTGGTACACAGATATTTTAGAGCCTGCGAAAGGAGATAGGCTTAATGCCTTAAAAAGGGTTGATAGGGGTTGAAAAAGTGGATGAAAATGCGAAACCGGTTCAAGATACACAAAAAAATATCTATAAGAAAATGAGTAGAGTCCGCGACAATATAATGTCTGTCTCTTAAGACGAACTCGCAAGAACGACGGGAACCGAACGATGGCAACCGAACGACGGGTCGCGAGCGACAGGGCGCGACCGATCACGTAGGTTAGGATAGATTGCAATAACCATTTTGGATCCCCAAAATAACTATTCTATGCGGACGAAGTCGCTGACTCAGCTAGTTAATTATATCGGGTCTATAATTATAATATGTGCAATGAAAAATACTATATTTTATATTAAATATCAATACTTGTTTTGTTGGTCGTTTTGCACACGTGCTCAAACCCAGGTTTTTTATTATCTTCAATATTAAAAACCTGGTTTTTGAGCACAGTGTAAAATACATACAGTAACTCGGCTTTATATTATTCTTTTCATGATGCGCATTTATTTTTGCCAAGGTTAGGGCAATTTCAAAAAAAACGGTTTAAATATAATTTACGCTGAGAAAACATAAATAATGTAACAGTTTAATAAAACTAGTCATAAAAGTCCAATATCAACGCGTGCTGTGGTGTGAGACGAGAAATTTATACAATAAGTAGTTGGTACAGACACAGTTTAGAATAAGTTAAGGAATCCATTCAGATACGAAACAGTGTCGCAAGAGGCTAACAAACCGTGGCTACAAGATTACGACAAGATCGTCACGTGACTTGTTCAGGAAGTAACAGAAATGCTACAGAAGTTAACTGGTCAACCGGTCACGCGCCCACTACTGAAAGGTTTAAGCAAAAGGTAAACAAATCACACAGTTTTTTTCATACAAACCTATATTGCACCGCTCTTTTTGTATCGTAACGTGTTCCATAATTACCTATCCTCGATATAATTGTAACAGAACGTGAAAATAATTAATTGTATATAACATTGAACAAGAAACTCTTTATTACTAAGTAAGTAAGTGATTTGGGTCTTTAAAATAAAATACTTTTGAACCGTGAAAAGTGTTTTATTTTAAATATACTTCTCTATCAAACTAGGTACTGTTTGTTTATAAAATTGATGAAGAACTTTGAAATATTGAGTTAATGTCTCATAACAATTTGGTATCCCTCGTACATATTTCTAATAAAAAGTAATATATAGGAACGTCCCTGAACCTCAGAAAAACGGAAACATAAACACCAGACACAAACACAGGAAATACATATAAAACCTACACAGACCGCAAATAGCTTTCGTTTTTATTCGTGGTCTTAAGTTAGAACATTTGGTACTGGTTGATATAAGTTACATGAACTTTCTATTCATGTCATTGACATTGCCTTAATTAATTAAAGCGGTCGGGTTATGATAATATCTAACGTTGCATAATGTCTACATATTCAAAAGCATAGTTGTCATCGACTGTACTTGAAAGATATTACGAAAAACCGCTTATCAGAAGCCGAGCGTTTATGTATCAACTCACTATCCCGAGAAGTACTTACCTGGGCTTTTTAATAAAAGAAAAGGAAATACAATCCTAATAAATGTAAACATTGAAATTATAATCTAACTGTTTGTTTATCTTCACAGTATTTGATTACTTTCTGTTTTCCTTCTTACCTCAACAGAGCTTACATAGTCAGAGATATTAAGGAAACAAAGCCTGTTGCATAAAACTAAGTCTAATCTATACTCTTTAAAACAACTCTCAGATTTAAATAAACCACTTACAACGGTTGTAGACTGTTGTAAGTGATTTTTTTTGATTCGTACTACTCGTCTAAACTACCGACAATGAGGTTATTTACTCACTAATCTATTATATAAAAAGAACGCACGAGGCTTTTGCTTTAAAACTATGTCGACTATGCTATTAAGAAGGTAAAAACATAGCGCAGTTTTTGCACATTTATTTACGTCCAGAATAGATTTTTTGTTTGTATTAATCTAAGTGGTCGTGTCTGATCTTGTTCTGTCCAAAGTAATGAACGAATTAGAGCAAAAAAGCTTAACGATTTCCCTCTCACGTGGATGATATCACTGCGAGGATAAATTACCTCTATCTATATAACATAATGACCGAATGAATAATAGAAGAGATATTGTCGCTTAAAGGACATATTCAACTGTTGCTCAATTCAACAGCTAAAACTTACAATTTTTAAATAATTACAACTTTACTATACACAATTACAATATAAAATGGTGTACAGGACAGCATTTTGTCCACAAATAGTAGAGAAATTGTATGTACGTTTATATATTGCATAATCTATGGTAACACAAGTAAAAAAATAATATTTGTAAAAGAATGTTTTCTTTATATTTGTAGTCTGTGATTATTAATGTTAAAGTATAGTATTTTTTTTTATCCAATTAATCAACTCCATTGTAAATTAAAAATATGATTTATGAACAAGCTATATCTTGTATCACGTGACTTTTCTGAGAATTAGGACTCGCGTAGACAAAGATCTCTTACGTGGGTAAATAAATCTTTATTCAATTGTTTTATGCGCACACAGCGCCTAATTAAACATCTAAGTACTAAACAAAAAACACAATCTTGTTTTATCATATTTTACTAAGCTAATGAAAATTCAGTATTTTTGGCGGGCTAATTGTTCTAATAGTGGCATTGTATGGCTAATAATCAACGGGTTCGATCCCCACCGGGTTCAACATTATTCATATAATTTTCTGAAACATGTTGGACTTCATCTGGATATTAAATGAGTGGTAAAATCGAAATTCCGTCCAGGGTAGGGTCATATACCACCACAAATGAAACAATTTAATCCTCTTTTCGTTGGATTTTCGAATATTCAAAGCCAAAAAATAAACATTTTTTTCAAGTGAACAAACTTTGTGAAATACTATAAAATAGTTTTTATTAATTTTTTTTATGTAGTGGTACGTATTGGATAATAATATGAAGATAAGATAAGATACATATTATAGATGCGGGTAGCGACTTTAGAAACAATGTATTAAAAAACATCTAGTTTACAAATATATTAAATTTTATGGCCAAATTAAATGAAATAAGCTATTAATTATGCGATAATTATAATACGTCTTCATTGCTTACTAATAGGTAAATCAAACTTTGAATCTTAAATTGATATATGACAAATTATATATTTTTATACTTTACTTTAAAATAAATGTATTTCATACGTGACATTTGCTTTCTTATATGATTTATTTTTGTCTGCTTGTAATCGACACTTAATCTCCTACAGTATCTATGCATTTAAACGTAGTGGCGGTTGTATATATATATATATATATATATTTATTTCAGCTAAATCGTGTCTGTACGCGGTACGTGCAAAGCCGTAAATATCCGATAAAACACTATTGCACGTAGCAATTAGCATGGTGGCTCTTGTTAAGCAATGTTATTGCGAAAGCGAGCGCGGGGAAACACGGTTACTTCATCTCTCACAATGCTGTTGTCGACCCTTTGACTAACGCTATGAACTCGTGTGCAAATAAAATTTCAATAAGACAAAATATAATATTAAAGGATCCTTCACCCGATAACTTCGATATTTGAAATTTCAGAATCGAAACGCCATTATAGACCTTACAGCTTTTCCCTTTGTGGGTTTGACGGCCTCGTTAGTGTAACGGTAGCATTGTGGCTAAAAATCAATGGGTCGTGGATTCAATCCCCACCGGGTCTAACATTTTTATAATCAATTCACAAATTTTCTGAAACTTAGTCTGGGATTCTGGATATTAAGTGTCACGTCCACAGATAAAAAGCCTTCAAGTTTAATGGTGTTTCAGTAAATCTGTGGCATTTTGTGCAGGGTGCTCCACCTACCACCAAGTGAGCCCCGGCTTGTCTGTCTTCCTCTATCACAAAAAATACTCGATTAATCATCACCAGACATTCAAACAAATATTTGCGGTAAACGATCGGA